ACTGAAGTCTCTGAGATGGTGAGCCAAAAGACATCTCTGCTTCGTGCTGGTGACGCCAAGTATCAGGTTACAGTGCACTGAGTCTGGAGAGTCACGCGGGCTGTCTGCAGGTCCAGGCACCTCCGGTCCCCTCATGCCCCTGGCCACGCCCCAGCCTACCACTGTGCCTGGCACACAGTTTCTACTCAATGCATGATTTTTGCTTGTGGTGCTGGAGCTCAAACCCAGGCCTTTCACATACTAGGCAAAGGTTCAGTGCTCTACGCATCAGCGGAGCCCACAGGGCTCCGCGGCTTCTGTTCTGGGTTGTGCTTTGTGGTTGCTGTTTGCTGACAAACACTGTGAAGGCCCCGGGGGACCAGCTGATCAGTCCCTCTGTCCCTAACCCAGGTAGGCCACTCAGATGTGCCAAGATCACACATTGTAGGAAGGACCAAGTGGCATCCTTGACTTGAGATCTGCTTTCCTGGCCATTGTACCTCTTTGCACAGAAAACTCCCCTCTGGCCAGCTCCTACTTAACCTTCAAGGCCCAAGTCAATCTGCCCTAGTTCCCAAAGACCCTTTATGGGCTCTGGGCCCACAGCCCATCATCACCAGTCCCATTTATCTGGAGTTGTACTCGAAGTTCATCAGGACCTCAGATAGCTTCAAGATGGCTTCCAGCCCAGGGGCTGGGCCAGCCAAGATCAGGAAAACCTGTGAAGGCATGAACTGGGGATGGTGGGTGAGGCTGCTCCTGGACCCTGGTCTGCCTGTGTGCCATCAGCACACCCCATCCCCCACTCCCTCATACGGGCCATGAGGTCAGCTGGGGACAGGGCCGACTTCCCCCGGCTCCCAAGGCTCTTGGAGGGTCTCAGACACTTGGGCCCATGCCTTGGGACCTGTCCTGGAACCTGTGGTCCCCAGCCACATTCAGAGGCCACACCCTTCCCCCTGCCCTGCCCTGCTGCCCTCCCAAACACATAGGCCCAGCTGAGGTGCACAGGGCTCAGTGCTCACCCCGAGCGTGAGTGCACACGGCTCAGTGCTCACCCCGAATGTGAGTGCCCGGGACTCAGTACCACCCTGAGCGTGAGTGCACAGGACTCAGTGCTCACCCCAAGCGTGAGTGCACACAGCTCAGTGCTCACCCCGAGCGTGAGTGCACACAGCTCAGTGCTCACCCCGAGCGTGAGTGCACACGGCTCAGTGCTCACCCCGAGCGTGAGTGCACACGGCTCAGTGCTCACCCCGAATGTTAGTGCACAGGACTCAGTACCACCCCGAGCGTGAGTGCACACGGCTCAGTGCTCACCCCGAGCGTTAGTGCACACGGCTCAGTGCTCACCCCGAGTGTGAGTGCACACGGCTCAGTGCTCACCCCGAATGTGAGTGCACAGGACTCAGTACCACCCTGAGCATGAGTGCACAGGACTCAGTACCACCGTGAGCGTGAGTGCACAGGACTCAGTACCACCCTGAGTGTGAGTGCACAGGGCTCAGTGCTCACCCCGAGCGTGAGTGCACACGGCTCAGTGCTCACCCCGAGCGTGAGTGCACGGGACTCAGTACCACCTTTAGAGTGAGTGCACGGGACTCAGTGCTCACCCCGAATGTGAGTGCACGGGGCTCAGTGCTCACCCCAAGGCTGGGAAGGCAGCTCAGTGGCAGAGTGCTCACTTTCATGCATGAAGCCCTGGGTTTGATTCCTCAGTACCACATACACAGAAAAGGCCAGCAGTGGAGCTGTGGATCAAGTGGTAGAGAGAGCTAGCCTTGAGCAAAAGCAGCTCAGGGACAGTGCCCAGGCCCTGAGTTCAAACCCCAGGACTGCCAAAAAAAAAAATTTCATCCAGGAGAACCTGTCTTCACTGCGGCCAGGCACTTCCTTCCAGTTAAGGACGCTGTCACTGGGCGGCCCAGAGGTCTTGGAGGTAACAGCTGGAGTCCAGGCTGAATTGGGCCTCAGAAGGCAGTGGGTCTGAGAGGCCAGGTACCCCTGGCTGGCAGGGTCTGAGTTGGGCAAGGGCAGCAGGCCCACAGGGTTTCAGAGGGATAGGGACTTAAGGCCACACCGAGCTTGGTCCACCTGTGCCCTCTGGAGGTGGTGCTGAGCCATTGCTTTCTAAGCTGGTGCTCTGGCTTCTCTGAAGCTAGTTCTGTCCCCAGCAGTGATCTTTCTAGTGTCCCCTCACCCCATGGATGGGCAGAGGCCTCATCCACCGGCAGGACAGGGAAGGGGGCAGCCAGTGAGAGACACAAGGAGCTCAAATCAAGGGCACCAGAAATGGGGCTGCTCTCCAAGCCAAGGCCTTCGTGTGTGTGGGGAGACTCAGTCTCTGATGGGGACACAACCGTGGGCGCGTTAGCTTCTGTGGTGGCTTGAGCTCTGAGACGTGGGGAGGGCCTGCTTCCAGGATCGCTTCATAGTCAGTCCTGGGATGGGCCTCCTGTTCCCAGGTAAGCCGTAAGAAGAGGAAGGAGAGAGAGAGGAGGGGAAGGAGAGGGGGCAGAGGCAGAAAGGGAGAGGAAGGGGGAGGAGAGAAAAATAGGAAGAAAAGAGGGAGGGAAAAAGGGGAAAAATGAGAGAGGGAGAGGAAAAAGGACAAAGGAATAAAGAAGAAGAGGGGGGCTGGGAAGGTGGCTCAGTGGTAGAGCGCTTGCCTTGCATGCCTGAGGCCCTGGGTTCAATTCCTCAGCACCACATAAGCAGAAAAAGAAAAGCCGGAAGTGGCGCTGTGGCTCAAGTGATAGAGCTGAAGAGCTGAGGGACAGCGCCCAGGCCCAGAGTTCAGGCCCCACAACCGGATCCAAAAAAAAAAAAAGAGGGAGAGAAGTGGAGAAAGCCCAAGATCGTAGCAGCCATTGCCTGGCTGCTCTGGTCCACCAGTTGGGAGGGGCTCGCAGGGCTGGTCACTGGCACTGGGGGAGGGGCTGCCAGTGATGACTGCAGAGTAGCAAGCAGGTGGTGTCGGGCTGCGTGCCCAGGCAGGCCCCAGCTGGCCGACATCCTGGTTTCACTCACTTGGCTCATCTGGGGCTTTGATGAGGTTCAGATGTGCTGCCCCCTCCACTGGGCCCTACCTGGCCTTGCCTCTCCCTTCCTGGAAGCACCCCTCTTGGGAATTCTCCAGGGCAGACTGGGCAGGCATGGTTACACTCTGCTTCTCCCCCACCGTGGATGAGGCTTAGCCAAGGCCCAGCTGCAAGGGGCCACATGGGTGTGGGGCATGCCTGTCACCCACGCCCTGTGCCGTGCGCACAACACCTGTCACTAGCTTATTCCCTAAACTGTAGCCCTGCAGGTCCTCAGAACCGTAGGCTGTGTAGTAGTGCCCTGGCCTTTTCCTTCCAGGAAAGGGGTCAGGGAGGGTGTGCACTGCTGGCCGTTTCCCTCTTGGCTACTCCCAGGCCCATAGCCACTAGGCCTGCAGCAAGGCCTTGTTCACATGAGGGTGTGGGGAGGCCAGGGCCAGACCTGAGCCTGGCGTGGGAACTCCAGGCTTGGCAAGAGTTCCCAGCTGTGTCCTCACAGCCTGGGACCAGAGGGAGGGAGTGCTGTTTTCACCTAGCTATCCCACTGCTGGTGTGTGCCTCTGAAAGCCACAGGAGGCCGAGCCAACCCTGGGCCAGCACTGGCGTGTCCTGAGTGGGTCCTGGGGCTTGAACTTCCGGGCCTGGGAGCTGTTCCTCCGCTCTTCAGCTCAAGGATAGTACTCTACCACTTGAGCCACAGCGCCACTTCCAGCTTTTTTCTTTTCGTTTATGCGGTACGGAGGAATCTTACCCAGGGCCTCATGCATGCAAGGAAAGTGCTCTACCACTGAGCCACCTTCCCAGCCTCCCACTTCAGCTTTTCTATGTGGTGCTGAGGAATTGAACCCAGGGACTCATGCACTCTACCATGGAGCCACCTTCCCAGCTCATCCTGGGGTGGCCTTGAGCCCAAGGTCTTGGCCACCCCTGCCCCCTGCAGGGACAACATGGGCATAGCAGATAGAGTTCTCCTTTTGTTGGAACATCAAAGATCTACACCTGTCAACACTGGACCTTCCAGACAAGCCTGCCTTTAAAAGCTACCTCAGGGTTTGAATCAATGGGACAAGCAGTACAGCTGGGAACATCTTGAAACCATGACCCAGGCCGTCTACCTTGGGGACAGGCACACACCATCACCCCACCTGCCACCTGGATGTGAAGCGGGAACACCTTTAGAATACCAGGCAGCCAGAGCTTACCCCTTTCCAGTGTCAAGATGCACAGGCATGCCAAGTAATCTAGGATGTCAGTGCAAATGAGGTCCTAAGGCATTTGAGCTAATTGGAAAAATGCTCTGGTTAAAAAGTACTAACTCGGGCTGGGAAGGTGGCTCAGTAGAGCGCCTGCCTTGCATGCCTGAGGCCCTGGGTTCAATGCCTCAGCACCACATAAGCAAAAAGAAAAAAGCCGGAAGTGGCGCTGTGGCTCAAGTGGTAGAGCACTAGCCTTGAGCTGAAGAGCTGAGGGACAGCGCCCAGGCCCGGAGTTCAGGCCCCACGATTGGACCCCCCCCCCCAAAAGTACTAACACACTGGTGGCTCACACCTGTAATCCTACTCAGGAGGCTGGATCTTAGGATCACGGTTCAAAGCCAGCTGGGGCAAGAAAGTCCCCAAGACCTTATATCCAATTAACTACCAGAAGAGGGCTGTGGTTCAAAGTGGTAGAGTGCTAGCCTTGAGCAAAAGAGCTCGGGGACAGCACCCTGAGTTCAGGCCTTGGGACAAAAGACTAATGGGATGTAGCTCAGTGGTAGACCCTCAGCACACCAAGAAAGCAACTGAACTTCAGAGTTGAGCGTCCATATCAATCATATCAACTCCCCCAAAAGGTGTTAGGGAGCTGCTGACCAGGGATTCATCCAACAGTGCTGAACTATGAACAGGATTACCACTCAGGCTCTGGGGTACCTCTGGCAATCACCCACCACCTTACCAATTACCAAGTCAGGATCGTTCCTCACATCAAAAAGAGACCTTAATTTTCCTGAGGGTTTATTATAATACTCAAAACATAGCTTTATTTTTTCTTCTCAACATCTTGTTCTGCAGCTTCCTTGGCTCTTTTAGCTCGGATACCGAAGAGCCGGGCATTGGCACGGGCCATTCGAAGACTGGCAAAAGCCTTGAAGTTCTTCTCCTCCTCTGTGATAGCTCTGGCCTTCTCCTTTTTGTAGACCTGGAAGTCATATTGTACAATGAGCCCACAACTTTCAAGACTACCTCAAAACTGAGGCAGAAGGAGCCATGCTCTGGGCACCTGACAATTCTCCCACATCAAATCTGGTTTCTTGGTTGTAACAATTTTTGTAGAAAGGAAAAACTAAAGAACCACTTGATGGGCAAATCAGAGATCAGCAGCACCAGACCACCAGAGGTGGCCTGGGCCTCCAGGCAAAAAGGATGGGAATGACTCAAACTTCTTAAGGGCAGCAGAGGGCTCCCCACCCCCAAGTTCGCTATCTCAGAACTACAGGGATCCTAGAAACCTCAACAGCCACCAATTGAGGGTGCCTGACACACTACTCATTCACCACTCCTTCTTGTCTATAGGACCAAGGTCTGAACAAACCGTCCACTTACGTTCCGGATGGGCATCACTGGTCCTGTCAGCTGTGTGGCCAATTTGAGTTCTTCAGCCTGTGTATGTTAATAAGTCAAATGAGTCCAATTTCACTTGCAAAGGGCCCCATGCTTGTTATGCCCAGCACCCGTGGGTCCTGGGCTCCTAAAAGAAACCACTGCCTGTATCTGGTCACATCTTACAGCTCAGTGAAACTGCTCTGCCCATTCACAAAACCTGGCGGATGACTGCTCGGTCTGTAGCAAGGTACTACACACCCCGTCCTCCACTCTCTACTGGAAGTGCACATAAATGGACACTTTGTCAGTGGGTCCTGCTAAGAAGGCTATTTCTAGATATAAAGCATCTGAAGGAAGGGGCACTATGATCAATGACAGAATGCTGGTTCCAGGCCAGACAGCTGGCCACAGGAGGCAGAGAAGCACCACAGAGCCCGTTGGAAGTAGGAAGGACTGTTGGTTGATCATTAGCATCTGTCTTCCCACTAAATCACCAATCCCCTGCCCTCTCCACACAATAGCCATGAAGTGGACAAAGGTTGCAGGACTGCTTTTCTCTGGTCCCCAGGAACACCCACAGGATGCCCTGGCTTCGAAACCTAGATTCTTGGACCGCTCCCACACCGTCAGGCCTGCCACAAATGCACTCACAGAGCTGTCTCCCTTCTTGGGGGCCGAGGGCTTCCTGGGGAAGAGGAGGAGCTTGGAGCGGTACTCCTTCAGCCGCTGCACGTTGGCCTGCAGGGACTCGGTGGACTTATTCCGCCTCCTCGGGTCTACCGAGATGCCAATGGTCCGGGCCACCTTTTTGTGAATGCCGGCCACCTGCCCAGGAAAACCGGATGAAGGCCCGCGCAGCCTCTGCCCAGCGGTGCCCCGTGAAGAGGCTCGGTGTCAGATGGAAAAGGGTTCAAAAGCACTTTCATCAGCGAGGTGCAGCGATTCCGGAGAATGTCATCATTCCACCGAGCGCGAGGGGCGACCCCAGAGCCACCCCCACCGGCCGGCCGGCCGGGACTCACCCGCAGCTCCTCCAGGCTGAAGCCGCGGCCCGCTCGGACCTTGGTGTGGTACCTCACCGTGGGGCACCGGACGATGGGCCGGATGGGGCCGGACGCGGGGCGCGGGGCGATGCGGCGCGCTTTGGCCTGCCGGGCCTTGCGTCTGGGGAAGGAAAGCACGCACGTCGTCCCCGCCCGCGCGCCCCCGCCCGGCCCCGCCGCCCCCCGCCCGGCCCCGCGCGCCCCCCGCCCGGCCCCGCGCGCCCCCCGCCCGGCCCCGACGCCCCCCGCCCGGCCCCGACGCCCCCCGCCCGGCCCCGACGCCCCCCGCCCGCCGCCCGGCCCCGACGCCCCCCGCCCGGCCCCGACGCCCCCCGCCCGGCCCCGCGCGCCCTCCGCCCGCCGCGCACCTGCGGATCTTCCGGGCCGGCTGGTTAAACCAGGTGGCCACGCGCCGCTGCCAGTCCTTGTGGAAGTGGGGCTTCAGGATCATGCCATTCCGGCTGGGCGCCATGGCTGCCTACGGACGCGAAAGGAGGGTGAAGGCCTGCGCCCCGCGTCCCGGCCGCCAGCCCCCCGCCCGACGCCATGGTGGCGGCGAGAAGGCCCCTCCGAGGACGCGCAGGCGGCAGCGCCGGGCCGGCGGCGGCGGATGGCGGCGGATGGCGGCGGATGCGGGCCGGCGGCGGCAGGCGCACAGACTCACCTCCCGTGCCGGGGAACAGCCGAGCGGAAAGGAGCTGCGCCGCAAAGCACCACGGGGTCGTAGAGGGCCCGGCCAATCAGAAGCGCCGGAGCATTCTGACCAATCAGAGGAAAGAGGGAGGAAGTGACGCCCGAGCCGCGCTGACGCCTGCGCGGTCGCTGCGTCTCGGCCCGGGCTGCGCCGGCGTTGGCTGCGCGCGAGTCCGCCCGGGAGAAGGCGGGGCGCGGGAGCGCGGGGGAGGAGGACGCGGCTGGGGGTCCGCCGTTAACGGAGGCCTGAGCCCGGGCCCTGGGTGCCTCGCCTGCGGCCCTGGCCGCGCGGAGACCGAGGATCGCGGCTGGGGCCTGGCGCCGCCCCGGAGCGCGCCGCGTGGTTCACCGGAGATGGTCACGGGCTGGCCGCGCGGGCTGGCCTCGGACCGCCGTCCTCAGAGCTCGGCCTCCTGCGTCGCGGGGGTGGCTCCCCGGCCGAAACGTGGGAAGTGGGGCTGTGCCTGGAGTGACCGGAAAGCCAGGCCCGCCGGTGCCCGCCGGTGCCCAGGGCCGCGTCCGAGGGCGGCCGGCCCGTGGCGGGGAGCCGAGCGCCTTGCCGGCTCGGTGGAGGCGGTGACCCCAACAATACAAAATGCGACATTATTGATTTTGAAGAACAGGGCCGAACTTGAAAGGCAGGATTGCACTGGAACCACTCGTGCTGAGGAAAGGACCCGTTTGCCCCCGGCTGCCTCTCCTACTCGAATTAGTTTGGCAAAGGCGGAACACCTGGCCCCGACACCAGGCACTGCCCGCCGCTTTAGGTCAAAGTGGTACAGGGGTACTTAGGGTTCTGTTTCAGGAATGTGTGATTTACGCGTTTGCAAAGTAACTGCTAAGTTCTGCTTCTGTACACCAGCTTGCTTGCAACTGCTCTAAAAGAATGCTTTTTTTGCTTTATAAGCCCTGAGCTATTTGAGTTCGAGGCTGCTCACTCCCCCTCGGTCAGGCCTGGCTGGTCAGTCCAATCAACTCCAGCTTTTAAGAAAGTGGTCGGCCTCTGTGACTTTGCCCGGGGGTCAGTCCACTCCAGTGGACTCTGTCTTCACCACAGCAGGCTTTCCACCCGGTCCCTCCAGTCCCAGCCTCCTGAGTAGCTAGGATTCATTACCCTGTGAGCCATAGGTACCAGTCAGGCTATTTTTATTTTTTTGCCTGTCCTGGGCTTGAACTCAGGGCCTGGCACTGTCCCTGAACTTCTTTTTGCTCAAGGCTAGCACTCTACCACTTGAGCCACAGCACCACTCCCAGCTTTATCTGTGTATGTGATGCTGAGGAATCGAACCCAGGGCCTCACACATGCAAGGCAAGCACTCTTTACCTTTTGGGGCTTTTAGAAGACCATGTTAAAATATTTAAAGACCATATGCATGAACCAGGCATGGGTGGCTCACGCCTGTAACTCTAGCTGCTCAGGAGGCTGAGATCTGAGGATCATGGTTCAGAGCCAGCCTGGGCAGGAAAGTCCATGAGACACTTATCTCTAATTAACCACCAGAAAACTGGAAGTGGCGCTGTGGCTCAGGTGGCAGAGTGCTCGCCTTGGGCTGGAGCTCGGGCAGCGCCCAGGCCCAGAGTTCAAGCCCCAAGACTAACAAAAAAAAAAAGGGGGGGGGGCTGGGAAGGTGGCTCAGTGGTAGAGCGCTTGCCTTGCATGCATGAGGCCCTGGGTTCGATTCCTCAGCACCACATAAGCAAAAAGAAAAAAGCCAGAAGTGGTACTGTGGCTCAAGTGGTAGAGCGCTAGCCTTGAGCTGAAGAGCTGAGGGACAGCACCCAGGCCCAGAGTTCAGGCCCCACGACTAGACCACCCCCCCCCCCAAAAAAAAAAAAAGACTATGTGCATGGTTTTGCACTGATGGCTCACACCTATTATCCTACCTATTCAGGAGGCTGAGAAATGAGTCTTCCCTCTAACCAATACAAATCTGACAGTGGAGGGATGGCTCAAGTGATAGAGCTCCAGCCTCTGAGGCCCTGAGCTTGAGCCCAGGGCTGGCACACACTCACCAAAGAGTGCTTGATTCTAAAGGGAGGTCAGCTAGAAGGCGGATCACAGAAGGTCCAATCAGGTCTTAACTGTGTCCACCCAACTGCCCACGGGACAGTCAGTACTGAACCCGGTTTCTCTGTGAACCGGCACTGAGCACTCAGGATACCCAGGACAGCCTAGCTACTGCCTTAAACCCTTCACCACCAGAACCTTGTATGAGGTGTGTTATGGCTGGGGAACAAGATTGGCTGTTGCCAAGAACCACAGTACTTTTATTTTCGCTTATTTTTTTAGATGAAATCTTGTTATAGACCAGGATGGCTTTGAACTCAAAATCCCCAAAGTGGTGGGATTACAAACATGCATCATGATGCCTTTGTGCCCAATACCGTTTCAAACACAAACGAAGCACAGAGTACCACCAAGGATGATCATAAAGCTAAAACTCTACATGACTTGTTTCTGAGAGTCCATTGGTGCAATTACTCCTAGGAGGCCAGGCTTCACCTTACTTTACTCAACTGAAGTGCTGTATTTTCAACAGTATCACAAGCCGGTGTACTGGCCAAGCATCAGATACTCGGCAAACGACTTCCTAAAAAAAAGACACGGGTCATCCCAGTGTGTAACACATGTCCACTTTAGAGCAGTTATATAGACAATATACACCCCCCCACCAACCATACACTAATCTTTGGTAATAAAACTGGGGAACTGAGGCAAGGGCCAGTCCCTTGGAGCTGCTCAGGCACCTGCCCTCCTATTGCCCAGCAACTAACTTGAGCACAAGTGCTGGCTCCAAAAGAATAGGACCCTTGGCTGGTGAGTGATGGGGCCTGTCTCCAAATGCCACAGTGCAGGCAGGAGGGAAGCTCTGTGGGAAAGAGCTATGCGACTCACCAGGGACCTGGTCCTTTTGTGGCCTGGGCCCAGACTGCTATGGAGCAGCTCACAGTACAAACTGAGAATTGTGATCCTGGACAAACCTGCCAGAGTCTGTATAGTATAAATGTAGGTTCTCTATTACAGAGTAGGTCAGTCAAATACCACAATTTTCAGGGCCTTCAAAAGGTGGCCCTAAGGCAGTAGGACAGACCGGTGAGGACAGAGCAGTAGGGGGCAGTGTTTGAATCCCTAGGGCTCAGTGCCTGGCGACTCCTCTGCGATCCTTGGAAGAGCAAACACGCAGGGAAGGAAGTCGGCTCAGAGCCCCTTTCATCTCAGCCCTGTTAGCATTCTGAGGAGACACAGACCCACGTTTCAGGCAGGAACCTGCAGCTGCTCAGTTTGAGGTGGGAGGGACCTACACAGCCAGGCATGGATGGAAACATTGTGTAAACGCTGGGAACTCCTATACACACAATCCAACTGTAATCTTCCCACAATGGTAACAAGGCTGACAATCTTCCCCACAGGGGAGACTGATATATAAATGCAAAGTTCAATCACTCAAGTCCCTAAGAACATTTACTAAGTATACATAAGTAACTCAATAAATAGATCTCAAAAACCCTCTGCAGAAACCATTCCCAGCTGAAAGGAACTAGGAGAACAGCTAAGAAAGCAGTTCCTGGGTCACAGCAAGTGACGTCAGGGAGTTCCAGCTATCTGCGGAGCTGCCTCTTCGTCTCCAGAAGTCTGCTGCTCCCTCTGGGCATCCATCCACCTCTGTGGAGCAATCATTTTCTTAGGCCCGTGTGGCGGTGGGCCAATGAGGGCCTCAATATCCTCATAGTTTATCACTTCCTTTTCCAGAAGGGCATTTGCCAGCTAGAAAGAACAAACACAGCAGTGTGAATCTCTGAAACAAAGACAAGGCCTTTGAGAGCAAAGCATCTGCCATGGAGACACACTCCACAGAGGGGTCTCTGTATCCTAGAGGACATTTCGGACAAACTGCTTTCCCAGGAAGCAGAAGCAGGAGGCGGCTGGGGCAGTGAAGACTCACTCCCTGTCTCCACTCTGGAAGAGATCTGCCAGCTGCAAGATCACTCATTAATTTCTCTACTTCCTCTAAAAAATTTCACCTATTTTTGACAAATTAGTTTTCTTCACCAAACAAGGTCTGTGTGTGTCTGTGGTGAGAGTTAAAACGTGGGGCATGTCTTTGGAGAGGGGTTAAAATGTGGGGGTATGCTGGTGGGTGCAGGGGCAAAACATGGGGGCCCTCAACTGGAGTACAGTAAGAGGGGAGTGGGGGGGGCATGGGAGCTGGGGCTCACAACCACGGTTGGGGGAGAAGTATTTGAAATGTACCCCACAATCCTGTGTCCATACATCTTGCTGGTTAGAGCAAAGACTCTTGCACATTTTTTCCTTGTTTGTTGCTGGGTATGGAACCCAGGGCCTTGAGAATGCTATTTACACACTGCCACTGAGCTACAGTCCAGCCCTGTATTCCACATCAGCTGAACCAAACAGTAACCCCTGAGACAGTGCTTAATCTCTGAGTGTTTACTACGAGAGGCCCACAGTTCCTGCCCTGGCTGCTGGTATGGTGGTAAGGACCGGAACCTATCACCTGTGTGGGTAGTTCAGTCCTGACAGGCAGCTCTGCATATACTCAGGACACCCCTGCCAACAGCCAACACCCCTCCATCCCGGTCCCACGCACCAAGTCTAAGTTCTTAAGCTCAGTGCTAGTCTGCAATGTGCACCTTGCAGAGAGCCTGGCTTTGACTGAATGCAGCATCTGATGAGACAGGTGCTCTGGTCTGGAGTTCACACTGGGGATTGAAAACATGATTTCTGACTGACAGACCAGCTGGGATTTTTGTGGGGGGAAATAGGGTCCTTGAACTTTTGTGCTCAAGGCTAGAGCTCTACCACTTGAGCTATAGCTCCACTTCTGGCCTTTTGGAGGTTAATTGGAAGTAGAAGTCTCAGGTACTTTCCTGCCTGCGTTGGCTTTGTAGACCAGGCTAGATTCAAAGTTGAGATCCTCCAGCCTTAGCCTCCTAAGTGCTGGGGTTGCAGGTGTGCACAACCACACTTGGCTTAGCTGCATCATATTAAGGAAACAAGCAGGTGCTAAGAAACTACACGCTGTTCTGCTGGTCTGTCTGCATGTGGCACGAAGAGCCGTTGTTTCTACGTCCCCTGGGTGTGAATCATCACAACCTAGGAGATAAAAGGCCTTCACTTCTGAGGCCATCCTCTCCAAACCACCACCTCTATCCAAGGTGAGAAAATGCTGAATAATCCAGTACCCCACACAATACCAAGCCACCTGCAGGGCAGTCCTCATGATAGCCAGCCACGAGGCAAGGGATCAAAGGCCATGTAATGGTGGCAGGTCCTGTGGGAATCTGGACAGAGTAAGGGTACTGGGAAGGTCTGCGGCCATGTGAGTCCATTGGGGACCTCAGTTAACAATGGTGTGTGATGATGTTCTGTACTATGTTAGTTCCAGGGGAGATAGGGCATAGGTTGTAAGAGAACAACTCTGTAAATCTAGAACTATTCTAAAGCTTAAAAAGATTTCTGAGGGGCTGGGAAGTTGGCTCAGTGGTGGAGTGCTTGCCTTGCATGCATGAGGCCCTGGGTTCAATTCCTCAGCACCACGTAAGCAAAAAGAAAAAAGCCGGAAGTGGTGCTGTGGCTCAAGTGGTAGAGCGCTAGCCTTAAACTGAAGAGCTGAGGGACAGCGCCGAGGCCCAGAGTTCAGGCCCCACGACCAGACCCACCACCCCCCCAAAAAAAAAAAAAGATTTCTGAAAGATTTCCAGGTAGGTAGGTGCTGGTGGCTCACGCCTGTCATCCTAGCTACTCAGGAGGCTGAGATCTTAGGATTATGGTTCAAAGCCAGCCCGGGCAGGAAAGTTTGTGAGACCAGAAAACCAAAAGTGGCGGGTGGCTGAAAGTGGTAGAGTAGTAGGCTTTGAGCACAATAGCTCAGGGACAGTGCCCACGCCCCGAGCTCAAGCCCCAGGACTGGAAACAAATCATTTCCAGGGAGGAAATACTGATCATAACAATATGTTTACAAAAGGTGGGGGGTGATCTAATTTGAAGGAACTGGTGTGGCATGCTTCAGATAGAAGGAAATGGATGACCCCAACTGTGCTGGTGGGATTAGGTCTGCCTGTGCCCTCCTAAACCCCACACAGCGGAAATGCCCTGTGGGGGCACTGCACCCTGAGCTGCCCTCACCGCCTGCAACTTGTCCATGTTGTCCAGCAGTACCCTCTCCGTGTGTCTGTAGGCTTTGGCCACCAGCAGCTTTGCTTCCTGTACAGAAAAAGTTAAGACATGTCATGGGAAAGGATGAAGACACTGTTGAGATTCATCATAGCCAGTCTAGCATGGAAGTACAGGAAGAAAGTTCAGATTAGGAATATGCCTTCCATCTCTCATGATGACCAGCAGACACTCTCCCGTTCACACCTGTCAGGGACTCACAGTAACAACTGGCGGACCCTGTCTGTCCTCTGCTGCATCTGAGGCTGTCACGGAGCATAAGCAGCAAGAGCTGTCCAAGAGCAGGCCTGGACACTGTCCTGGAAGAACCTGCAGCTGCAGGGATCATGCATATTGGTTCTGTTATTCAATGTGTTTGACATTCTTCCAGATTCACAGCTAGAGGGATGAGTCTACTAACTAGGTCCTTCTCCAAGAAAACATACCACAGGGCTACAATAGAGCCCAGAAGGGAAAGTTTATATCAGGCTGCCACTCAGGCTTTTTTTTTCCTTACCAGTCCTGTGGCTTGAACTCAGGGCCTGGGCACTGTCCTTGGCTGCTTTTGCTCAAGGCCAGCACTCTACCATGTGAGCCACAGTGCCACTTCCGGCTTTTACTGTGTATGTGGAACTGAAGAATTGAACCCAGGACTTCAATGGATGCTAAGCATGAACTCTACCACTAACCTGCGTTTCAGCCCTGTCCCTAAGCTCTTTTTGTTCTACCATTTTGAGCCACAGCACCACTTCCAATTTTCTGAGTAGTTTATTGGAGATAAGAGTCTCACGGACTTTCCTACCCAGGCTGGCTTTGAACTGTGATCCTCAAATCTCAGCCTCCTGTCATCCTGAGCTAGGATGACAGGCGTGAGCCAGTAGGGTTGGCTTCAGGCTCTCTTTTAAGGGAGCTGAGGTCCTCATATAACAGGCCCAGTACCGTTTCCCCCTCAGGCAAGGGGTATGACTCACGTGGTCCATCATCTGTTGCAGGCCCTGGCTGAAGGGGCGTCGTCCAATGCCTGTGAGACCCTCTTGTGCCTCAGGAAAGGAGACAGGCCCAATGGTGGGTGCCATGCCAAACTGCTTCACCATGGAGTAGGCAATGCGGGTGACCTTCCTCAGGTCATCCTGGGCCCCTGGAGCACAGAGTTAGGAGAGGGAGAGTCCTCAGCAGCCCATGTACATGGGAATGCTGGGCCACAGGCCCCATTAGAGCCCACAGGGGCCCCATTAGAGCCCACAGGGGCCCCATTAGAGCCCACAGGGGCCCCATTAGAGCCCACAGGCCCCATTAGAGCCCATGGACTAGCACTTTAGCAGACATTTTTTTTTTCCACATCGGTCATGGGGCTGTCCCTCAGCTCTTCAGCTCAAGGCGAGCACCCTACCACTTGAGCCACAGCGCCACTTCCAGTTTTCTAGTGGTTTATTGGAGATAAAGAGTCTCATGGACTTTCCTGCCCAGGCTGGCTTTGAACCATGACCCTCAGGTCTCACCCTCCTGAGTAGCCAGGATGACAGGCATGAGCCACCTGCACCCGGCTCACAGACATTTTATGCCTAAGAATGTCCCTTTTACCCTGTCACCACTCCTTCAAGGAGAATTTTAACTGCTCAACAGTCAGCTGGCTCATTCAGGGTGGCCTGACCGGCTACTGCAAGGCAGTCATCCAGCACAAGGCCAGGTCTGCACAAGCAAACCTGAGACTTGATATCCCTAGGCACAACCTCTTTGGACTTTCCAGTGGAGTAACAGCTTGTTACAGGAAAGCTGTTTCAATTTTATCTAGTTCTGTGTAGCAATGACTGATAATTAACCAGTTAAATGAATTCACAAGTTGCATATATGTACATTTGTTTTTTTGTCGGTCATGGGGCCTGAACTCTGGGCCTGGGCGCTGTCCCTCAGCTCTTCAGGTCAAGGCTAGAGCACTGCTTGAGCCTCAGCACCACTTCTGGCTCTTTCTGCTTATGTGGTGCTGAGGAATCGAACCCTGGGCCTCATGCATGCAAGGCAAGTCTACCACTGAGCCATCTTCCCAGACTCATATGTAAATTTTTGTACGCTTAGTTCATGCCTGCTTAGCAAGTGTGAGGTCAAGGCCAAACTGCAGTACCTCTTCAAATGTGTGTGTGTGTGTGTATATACTTACTTAGTGTCAGGTAGTTCATGTGTACAATATCAGCTACTTGGGATGTGGAAGTAGGAGGATCATGAGTCTGAGACTAGCCTAAGCAGAGTTATGGAGACTTTGTGTCAAAACCAGCATATAAACAGAGGAGGAATCCCTAGACACACACACACACACACACACACACACACACACACACACACACACACACACACACACACACACACACCTCCTGCTGAAACGGCACCTGCACTGCAAAGCTCTTCCACCAGCCTTCTTCCATCACATGATCAGAGCTAAGGGGATGGGAGTAAAGGCACTCTGACAACTCCAGACCCCGGGAGCAGGCTCCTCACCAGAAGTGACCTTGCTGAAGGAGATGGCCTCAGCTGCCCGGCCACCCAGGGCCATGCACATGCGCTCGAACAGCTGCTCCTTGGTGAAGAGGTGCTGGTCCCGAGGGAGCATCTGGGCAAAGCCCAGGGCAGAGTTTGTCCGAGGTGCTATGGAGACCTGCAGAAGGTCAAGGTCATGACGTCGGCAAGGAGTGGGAGGTTTTCGTTTTAATCGTTATTACAGAGAGGTTACAGTTACGTAAGTCAGGTATAGAGTGCCTTGCTTGCCAGTGGCTCACACCTGTAACCCTAGCTAATCAGAAGGCTGAGACCTGAGGACTGTGGCTCAAAGCCAGCCCAGGCAGGAAAGGCCATGAGACTTCTTTATTCAATAAACTATTCAGAAAAAGCTGGAAGTGGCCTTGTGTCTCAAGTGATAGAGCGCTAGCCTTGAGCACAGAGAGGTTCAGGAACAGCAGCCAGGCCCAGAGTTCAAGCCCCAGGACTGAGAGGGATGGGGGGGAGGAAGACAATCTTTTTTTTTGGACAATGTTACCCCTTGAGCGTGAAGTCTTTCAGGGAAGGATGGACCACATAAAACAGGGCTCAATGCAGTCACCAGTCAAATCTGCACCTCCTCACTCTTAGAATTATGACAGCAAAGACAGACGCTCATGGGTTTCTGGGGTGTGCACTGGGAGAGAGGAGGCTTCTGGGGGCATGCACCAGAGGTTTCTGGGGGAACATACCAGTAGTTTCTAGAAGCTAAGCACCAGGGGTTTCTGAGGGTACACACCAGGGATTTCTGGGGGTGCACACCAGGGGCTTCTAGGGGATACACCCACCAGGAATTCTGGGGGTGCACTCAAGGGAATTCTGGGGGTGCGTACCACGGGCTTCTGGGGATACACACCAGGAGTTTCTAGAAGGTAAGCACCAGGAGGCTCAAGGAGGTATGTAGCAGGTGAACACCAGAGGTTCCTGGGGTATACATCAGGCGTTTCCAGAGGGTGAGCACCAGGGGGTTCTAGGTGGTGCACACTGGGGGTTGGAGGAGGCATACACCTGGGACTTCTGGGGGAGAGGGGCTCTTCCTTACATTGTCTCTATGTGTTTAGGAAGCCAATGCTTCCTACATGTTACAAGGTAACATGAAGTGTGAAGACAAACGACGTCTCAAGCCAGTGCCCACTGAACTCCTGCTGCAGCATGCGTCCCAGGGGACACCCAGGGTGTGTGCTGGGGACAGAGCTTGTTCCCTCTTGCTTCCCCCTCTCCAGGCCAATACCAGGAGGCACACAGGACAAGAGCCGGGCGCCAGTGGCTCACGCCTGTAACCCTAGCTACTCAGGAGGCTGAGATCTGAGAATCATGCTTTGAAGCCAGCCCAGGCAGAAAAGTTCCTGAAACCCTTAATCTCCAATTAACTAGCAAAAAACTCAGAAGTGAAGCTGTAGCTCAAGTGTAGAGCACCATCTTAAGCATAAAAACTAAAGGACAGCATCCAGACCAAGAGTTCAAGCCCCAGGATTGGTACACGAAATAAAAATAAAGGAAATCTAAAGCTGACTGTGCTCAACATGGATTTTCCTTTACCTATACTGACTTCCTTACTGCTCTGCTTGGCTCACACTGGCCTGACCCTATACACTCAGTGACTTCAAAGTCACAGGAGGCCACATGTCAGAGCCTCCTGTTGCTCAGAAGCGCATCCAGACCACCTGCTGCTCCTCAAACACAAACACAGAGGTTGCTGTCACCTCCACAGAGACCAACACCACTGCAGAGACCACACCGCTGTCACCTCCACAGAGATCAACACCACTGCACAGAGCCCACACCGCTGTCACCTCCACAGAGATCAACACCACTGCACAGAGAACACACCGCTGTCACCTCCACAGAGATCAACACCACTGCACAGAGCCCACACCGCTGTCACCTCCACAGAGATCAACACCACTGCACAGAGACCACACCGCTGTCACCTCCACATAGAGATCAACACCACTGCACAGAGAACACACCGCTGTCACCTCCACAGAGAGATCAACACCACTGCACAGAGAACACACCGCTGTCACCTCCACAGAGATCAACACCACTGCACAGAGACCACACCGCTGTCACCTCCACATAGATCAACACCACTGCACAGAGCCCACACCGCTGTCACCTCCACAGAGATCAACACCACTGCACAGAGCCCACACCGCTGTCACCGCCACAGAGATCAACACCACTGCAGAGACCACACCTCTGTCACCTCCACAGAGATCATCACCACTGCACAGAGCCCACACTGCTGTCACCTCCACAGAGATCAACACCACTGCACAGAGACCACACCGCTGTCACCTCCACAGAGATCATCACCACTGCACAGAGCCCACACCGCTGTCACCTCCACAGAGAGATCAACACCACTGCACAGAGAACACACCGCTGTCACCTCCACAGAGATCATCACCACTGCACAGAGCCCACACCGCTGTCACCTCCACAGAGATCAACACCACTGCACAGAGAACACACCGCTGTCACCTCCACAGAGATCATCACCACTGCACAGAGACCACACCGCTGTCACCTCCACAGAGATCATCACCACTGCACAGAGACCACACCGCTGTCACCTCCACAGAGATCAACACCACTGCAGAGACCACACCACTGTCACCTCCACAGAGATCAACACCACTGCACAGAGCCCACACCGCTGTCACCTCCACAGAGATCAACACCACTGCACAGAGACCACACCGCTGTCACCTCCACAGAGATCAACACCACTGCACAGAGACCACACCGCTGTCACCTCCACAGAGATCAACACCACTGCACAGAGCCCACACCGCTGTCACCTCCACATAGAGAGATCAACACCACTGCACAGAGACCACACCGCTGTCACCTCCACAGAGATCAACACCACTGCAAAGAGCCCACACCGCTGTCACCTCCACAGAGATCAACACCACTGCAAAGAGCCCACACCGCTGTCACCTCCACAGAGATCAACACCACTGCACAGAGCCCACACCGCTGTCACCTCCACAGAGATCAACACCACTGCACAGAGCCCACACCGCTGTCACCTCCACAGAGATCATCACCACTGCACAGAGAACACACCGCTGTCACCTCCACAGAGATCAACACCACTGCACAGAGACCACACCTCTGTCACCTCCACATAGAGATCAACACCACTGCACAGAGCCCACACCGCTGTCACCTCCACAGAGATCATCACCACTGCACAGAGCCCACACCGCTGTCACCTCCACAGAGATCAACACCACTGCACAGAGACCACACCGCTGTCACCTCCACAGAGATCAACACCACTGCACAGAGAACACACCGCTGTCACCTCCACAGAGATCAACACCACTGCACAGAGCCCACACCGCTGTCACCTCCACAGAGATCAACACCACTGCACAGAGCCCACACCGCTGTCACCTCCACAGAGATCATCACCACTGCACAGAGAACACACCGCTGTCACCTCCACAGAGATCATCACCGCTGCACAGAGACCACACCGCTGTCACCTCCACAGAGATCAATACCACTGCACAGAGACCACACCGCTGTCACCTCCACAGAGATCAATACCACTGCACAGAGACCACACCGCTGTCACCTCCACATAGAGAGATCAACACCACTGCACAGAGACCACACCGCTGTCACCTCCACAGAGATCAACACCACTGCACAGAGAACACACCGCTGTCACCTCCACAGAGATCAACACCACCGCACAGAGCCCACACCGCTGTCACCTCCACAGAGATCATCACCGCTGCACAGAGACCACACCGCTGTCACCTCCACATAGATCAACACCACTGCACAGAGCCCACACCGCTGTCACCTCCACAGAGATCAACACCACTGCAGAGCCCACACCGCTGTCACCTCCACAGAGATCAACACCACTGCACAGAGAACACACCGCTGTCACCTCCACAGAGATCAACACCACTGCACAGAGACCACACCGCTGTCACCTCCACAGAGATCAACACCACTGCACAGAGCCCACACCGCTGTCACCTCCACAGAGATCAACACCACTGCACAGAGACCACACCACTGTCACCTCCACATAGATCAACACCACTGCACAGAGCCCACACCGCTGTCACCTCCACAGAGATCAACACCACTGCACAGAGCCCACACCGCTGTCACCGCCACAGAGATCAACACCACTGCAGAGACCACACCTCTGTCACCTCCACAGAGATCATCACCACTGCACAGAGCCCACACCGCTGTCACCTCCACAGAGATCAACACCACTGCACAGAGACCACACCGCTGTCACCTCCACAGAGATCATCACCACTGCACAGAGCCCACACCGCTGTCACCTCCACAGAGAGATCAACACCACTGCACAGAGAACACACCGCTGTCACCTCCACAGAGATCATCACCACTGCACAGAGCCCACACCGCTGTCACCTCCACAGAGATCAACACCACTGCACAGAGAACACACCGCTGTCACCTCCACAGAGATCATCACCACTGCACAGAGACCACACCGCTGTCACCTCCACAGAGATCATCACCACTGCACAGAGACCACACCGCTGTCACCTCCACAGAGATCAACACCACTGCAGAGACCACACCGCTGTCACCTCCACAGAGATCAACACCACTGCACAGAGCCCACACCGCTGTCACCTCCACAGAGATCAACACCACTGCACAGAGACCACACCGCTGTCACCTCCACAGAGATCAACACCACTGCACAGAGACCACACCGCTGTCACCTCCACAGAGATCAACACCACTGCACAGAGCCCACACCGCTGTCACCTCCACATAGAGAGATCAACACCACTGCACAGAGACCACACCGCTGTCACCTCCACAGAGATCAACACCACTGCAAAGAGCCCACACCGCTGTCACCTCCACAGAGATCAACACCACTGCAAAGAGCCCACACCGCTGTCACCTCCACAGAGATCAACACCACTGCACAGAGCCCACACCGCTGTCACCTCCACAGAGATCAACACCACTGCACAGAGCCCACACCGCTGTCACCTCCACAGAGATCATCACCACTGCACAGAGAACACACCGCTGTCACCTCCACAGAGATCAACACCACTGCACAGAGACCACACCTCTGTCACCTCCACATAGAGATCAACACCACTGCACAGAGCCCACACCGCTGTCACCTCCACAGAGATCATCACCACTGCACAGAGCCCACACCGCTGTCACCTCCACAGAGATCAACACCACTGCACAGAGACCACACCGCTGTCACCGCCACAGAGATCAACACCACTGCACAGAGAACACACCGCTGTCACCTCCACAGAGATCAACACCACTGCACAGAGCCCACACTGCTGTCACCTCCACAGAGATCAACACCACTGCACAGAGCCCACACCGCTGTCACCTCCACAGAGATCATCACCACTGCACAGAGAACACACCGCTGTCACCTCCACAGAGATCATCACCGCTGCACAGAGACCACACCGCTGTCACCTCCACAGAGATCAATACCACTGCACAGAGACCACACCGCTGTCACCTCCACAGAGATCAATACCACTGCACAGAGACCACACCGCTGTCACCTCCACATAGAGAGATCAACACCACTGCACAGAGACCACACCGCTGTCACCTCCACAGAGATCAACACCACTGCACAGAGAACACACCGCTGTCACCTCCACAGAGATCAACACCACTGCACAGAGCCCACACCGCTGTCACCTCCACAGAGATCATCACCGCTGCACAGAGACCACACCGCTGTCACCTCCACATAGATCAACACCACTGCACAGAGCCCACACCGCTGTCACCTCCACAGAGATCAACACCACTGCAGAGCCCACACCGCTGTCACCTCCACAGAGATCAACACCACTGCACAGAGAACACACCGCTGTCACCTCCACAGAGATCAACACCACTGCACAGAGAACACACCGCTGTCACCTCCACAGAGATCAACACCACTGCAAAGAGACCACACCTCTGTCACCTCCACAGAGATCAATACCACTGCACAGAGCCCACACCGCTGTCACCTCCACAGAGATCAACACCACTGCACAGAGACCACACCGCTGTCACCTCCACAGAGATCAACACCACTGCACAGAGCCCACACCGCTGTCACCTCCACAGAGATCAACACCACTGCAGAGACCACACCGCTGTCACCTCCACAGAGATCAACACCACTGCACAGAGACCACACCGCTGTCACCTCCACAGAGATCAACACCACTGCACAGAGACCACACCGCTGTCACCTCCACAGAGATCAACACCACTGCACAGAGCCCACACCGCTGTCACCTCCACAGAGATCAACACCACTGCAGAGACCACACCGCTGTCACCTCCACAGAGATCAACACCACTGCAAAGAGACCACACCTGTCACCTCCACAGAGATCAATACCACTGCACAGAGCCCACACCGCTGTCACCTCCACAGAGATCAACACCACTGCACAGAGACCACACCGCTGTCACCTCCACAGAGATCAACACCACTGCACAGAGACCACACCGCTGTCACCTCCACAGAGATCAACACCACTGCAGAGCCCACACCGCTGTCACCTCCACATAGATCAACACCACTGCACAGAGCCCACACCGCTGTCACCTCCACAGAGATCAACACCACTGCACAGAGCCCACACCGCTGTCACCTCCACAGAGATCAACACCACTGCACAGAGACCACACCGCTGTCACCTCCACAGAGATCAACACCACTGCAGAGACCACACCGCTGTCACCTCCACAGAGATCAACACCACTGCAAAGAGACCACACCTGTCACCTCCACAGAGATCAACACCACTGCAGAGACCACACCGCTGTCACCTCCACAGAGATCAACACCACTGCACAGAGCCCACACCGCTGTCACCTCCACAGAGATCAACACCACTGCACAGAGCCCACACCGCTGTCACCTCCACAGAGATCAACACCACTGCAGAGACCACACCGCTGTCACCTCCACAGAGATCAACACCACTGCAAAGAGACCACACCTGTCACCTCCACAGAGATCAACACCACTGCAGAGACCACACCGCTGTCACCTCCACAGAGATCAACACCACTGCACAGAGACCACACCGCTGTCACCTCCACAGAGATCAACACCACTGCACAGAGACCACACCGCTGTCACCTCCACAGAGATCAACACCACTGCAGAGCCCACACCGCTGTCACCTCCACATAGATCAACACCACTGCACAGAGCCCACACCGCTGTCACCTCCACAGAGATCAACACCACTGCACAGAGCCCACACCGCTGTCACCTCCACAGAGATCAACACCACTGCACAGAGACCACACCGCTGTCACCTCCACAGAGATCAACACCACTGCACAGAGACCACACCGCTGTCACCTCCACAGAGATCATCACCACTGCACAGAGCCCACACCGCTGTCACCTCCACAGAGATCAACACCACTGCAGAGCCCACACCGCTGTCACCTCCACATAGAGAGATCAACACCACTGCAGAGACCACACCGCTGTCACCTCCACAGAGATCAACACCACTGCACAGAGACCACACCGCTGTCACCTCCACAGAGATCAACACCACTGCACAGAGACCACACCGCTGTCACCTCCACAGAGATCAACACCACTGCACAGAGACCACACCGCTGTCACCTCCACAGAGATCAACACCACTGCACAGAGACCACACCGCTGTCACCTCCACAGAGATCAACACCACTGCACAGAGCCCACACCGCTGTCACCGCCACAGAGATCAACACCACCTTACAGAGGCTGCAGGCTGCCTGGTCTCATTTCTACAGCTTCTGAGGACTGTGGAGCAGGTATGGACTGCAAACCAAACCACCTTCTCAGCATAACTAAGGCCTCCCAAAGGAGGCCACACCCTGGGCTGTAGTATGTACCCCGAGTTCTATAGCCCCGGCTTCCTCAACGTCCACTCAAGGTCTTCAATCAAGATCCACATTCTCTGGACACAATGAATTAACGTAGCATTTGGTGTGACTGGGAGCTTTCATGCTGTCTCTCCAGCAGAGCAAGTTTTCAGCACCAATTTTCAGCTCACACCAGCCAGTCATTCAGACGCATTCAGACACTGGCCTGGGGCACACAGAGTCTCTGGTCATGCTAGTGGCTGGAGCAGTGGTTGGGATGCACTCCTGTCGGAAGCCCCGTCCCCACCGCTGTCTGGGGCTGGGTGCAGCAGTTGCAGGCTTTCTCTCAGGAGCACAGAATCTCCCACCTTCATCACTGCCTCCGTGTGCTCCAGCAGCCAGCCCACCAGGGCATGGCCGGACTCGTGGAAGGCCACCACCTTCTGCTCCTCCTTGGAGAGGATCTTGCTCTTTTTGGCAGTCCCTGAAAAAGGCACAGCGGAGTTAAGGCCCAGCGCGCGCTGCACACTTGTCAGGGCTTCCTCTCGCCCACAGGGGTGGCAGCCTTGCCCAACTCTCACCCACAGCTGTCTCTCCTGATACCCAGTCAAGGGAACTCTGAATGTCTCCAATAATGCAGCTGACAGTCTCCTCCCTTCTCCCTGCGCCAACCTCTTCTTCAGGACCACTTATTATCCCAATTTTTCCACACCTCCAAGTTCCCACTTATACACCTTGACTAATGCCCGGGCTCAGGGTATTTAGAACAACCCTGACTGTGGTCTCCTATCCCACTCCTGTGAGCTTGTGAACTTACTCAAGACAGATGTGACAGCAGCTCAGTCACAGACGCAGGAGTGTGTGAGTGTGAAGGACCGGGGCTGGACGGAACACGAGCGTGAGTGTGAGTGTGAAGGACCGGGGCTGGACGGAACACGAGCGTGAGCGTGAGTGTGAAGGCACGGGGCTGGACGGAACACGAGCGTGAGTGTGTGTGAAGGCCCGGGGCTGGACGGAACACGAGCGTGAGCGTGAGTGTGAAGGCACGGGACTGGACGGAACACGAGCGTGAGCGTGAGTGTGAGGCACGGGACTGGACGGAACACGAGCGTGAGTGTGTGAAGGCGCGGGGCTGGACGGAACACGAGCGTGAGTGTGAGTGTGAAGGCACGGGACTGGACGGAACATGAGCGTGTGTGTGAAGGCACGGGACTGGACGGAACACGAGCGTGAGTGTGAAGGCACGGGACTGGATGGAACACGAGCGTGAGCGTGAAGGCACGGGACTGGACGGAACACGAGCGTGAGTGTGAAGGCACGGGACTGGACGGAACACGAGCGTGAGTGTGAGTGTGAAGGACCGGGGCTGGACGGAACACGAGCGTGAGCGTGAGTGTGAAGGCCCGGGGCTGGACGGAACACGAGCGTGAGCGTGAGTGTGAAGGCACGGGACTGGACGGAACACGAGCGTGAGCGTGAGTGTGAAGGCGCGGGGCTGGACGGAACACGAGCGTGAGCGTGAGTGTGAAGGCGCGGGGCTGGACGGAACACGAGCGTGTGAGTGTGAAGGCGCGGGGCTGGACGGAACACGAGCGTGTGAGTGTGAAGGCGCGGGACTGGACGGAACACGAGCGTGAGCGTGAGTGTGAAGGCACGGGACTGGACGGAACACGAGCGTGAGTGTGAGTGTGAAGGCACGGGACTGGACGGAACACGAGCGTGAGTGCGTGTGAAGGCGCGGGACTGGACGGAACACGAGCGTGAGCGTGAGTGTGAAGGCACGGGACTGGACGGAACACGAGCGTGTGTGTGAAGGCACGGGACTGGACGGAACACGGGCGTGAGTGTGAGTGTGAAGGCACGGGACTGGACGGAACACGAGCGTGTGTGTGAGTGTGAAGGCGCGGGGCTGGACGGAACACGAGCGTGAGTGTGAGTGTGAAGGCACGGGACTGGACGGAACACGAGCGTGTGTGAAGGCACGGGACTGGACGGAACACGAGCGTGAGTGTGAGTGTGAAGGCGCGGGGCTGGACGGAACACGAGCGTGTGTGAAGGCACGGGACTGGACGGAACACGAGCGTGTGAGTGTGAGTGTGAAGGCACGGGACTGGACGGAACACGAGCGTGTGTGAAGGCACGGGACTGGACGGAACACGAGCGTGAGTGTGAGTGTGAAGGCGCGGGGCTGGACGGAACACGAGCGTGTGTGAAGGCGCGGGACTGGACGGAACACGAGCGTGAGTGTGAGTGTGAAGGCACGGGGCTGGACGGAACACGAGCGTGAGTGTGAGTGTGAAGGCGCGGGGCTGGACGGAACACGAGCGTGAGTGTGTGAAGGCACGGGGCTGGACGGAACACGAGCGTGAGCGTGAGTGTGAGGCACGGGACTGGACGGAACACGAGCGTGAGCGTGAGTGTGAAGGCGCGGGGCTGGACGGAACACGAGCGTGAGCGTGAGTGTGAAGGCGCGGGGCTGGACGGAACACGAGCGTGAGCGTGAGTGTGAGGCACGGGACTGGACGGAACACGAGCGTGAGCGTGAGTGTGAAGGCGCGGGGCTGGACGGAACACGAGCGTGAGCGTGAGTGTGAAGGCGCGGGACTGGACGGAACACGAGCATGAGTGTGAGGCACGGGACTGGACGGAACACGAGCGTGAGCGTGAGTGTGAAGGCGCGGGACTGGACGGAACACGAGCGTGAGTGTGAAGGCGCGGGACTGGACGGAACACGAGCGTGAGCGTGAGTGTGAAGGCGCGGGGCTGGACGGAACACGAGCGTGAGCGTGAGTGTGAAGGCGCGGGACTGGACGGAACACGAGCGTGAGTGTGAGTGTGAAGGCGCGGGGCTGGACGGAACACGAGCGTGAGCGTGAGTGTGAAGGCGCGGGGCTGGACGGAACACGAGCGTGAGCGTGAGTGTGAAGGCATGGGACTGGACGGAACACGAGCGTGAGCGTGAGTGTGAAGGCACGGGGCTGGACGGAACACGAGCGTGAGTGTGAGTGTGAAGGCACGGGACTGGACGGAACACGAGCGTGAGTGTGAAGGCGCGGGGCTGGACGGAACACGAGCATGGGCACTCCTGTGCAGACCACCTGGGTGCCGCCACAGGGCAGGGGCAGGGCGGGGCGGGGGAGGGGCGGGGCAGGGGTGGGCGGGGCGGGGGAGGGGCGGGGCAGGGCAGGGGCAGGGGCGGGGCAGGGGAGGGGCGGGGCGGGGCAGGGGAGGTGGCAGGGAGGGGCAGGGGGCGGGGCAGGGGAGGTGGCAGGGTGGGGCGGGGCAGGGGCAGGGCAGGGGAGGGGCAGGGGAGGGGCAGGGCAGGGCAGGGGAGGTGGCAGGGAGGGGCAGGGCGGGGGCGGGGCAGGGGAGGTGGCAGGGTGGGGCGGGGCAGGGGCAGGGCAGGGGAGGGGCAGGGGGTGGGGCAGGGGAGGTGGCAGGGCGGGGCGGGGGAGGGGCGGGGCAGGGGAGGTGGCAGGGCGGGGGAGGGGCGGGGCAGGGGAGGTGGCAGGGCGGAGCAGGGGCAGGGCGGGGCGGGGCGGGGGGGGGGAGGGGCAGGGCAGGGGCGGGGCAGGGGAGGTGGCAGGGGCGGGGCAGGGGAGGGGCAGGGGAGGGGCCGGGCAGGGGAGGTGGCAGGGCGGGGCAGGGGCGGGGCGGGGCCGGGCCGGGGCGGGGCGGGGCAGGGGAGGGGCCGGGCAGGGGAGGTGGCAGGGCAGGGCAGGGCAGGGCGGGGCAGGGCAGGGCGGGGCGGGGCAGGGCAGGGCGGCCTCCGCAGTGCTCACACAGAAGGTAATGTCCCCCAGTGCTCTTTTCAGAGGCCTGTCATTCCCAGCGTCTCTCACGTTGCTGCTGGTACTGTAGTCCTACGTAAGCCCAAGCGACTTACACAAAACTCTCTTTAGAAGGACACAAGGCAGACTGGCCTTCTGTCTGCGGGGAGAAATCAGGCTCTGTTCTAGGTAAGATGCAGCCCCTCCTCCAGGACCGCAGGGAGGCCAGGGTGCAGGCGTGAACTCAGGCTGAGAGGACAAGCACATAAGGAAGGCCCGAGCTCTGACCATGTGACCAGGACCTCAGCTGGTCTCAACACTAGCTATGAGAAGGTGCACTGGTACTCCCGGTCAGTGCCAACACTGCTGCCTGGAGTTACAGAAGTATCCAGAACTCACCTGCTCTCCTCAGACCCCACTTTGAAAAGCCAAAGTTAAGCAATGCTTCAAGGCAGTCCCCCATCATCCTACTACAAAACTGGGCTACTCCATTAGTGAGTAAGCACAGCCTTGAGTCTTGGCTGAGATGGAAGGCAGTAGCAGACTCACGCCTCTCCTAGCCGAGAGCGCTACAGACCCTGGCCCTGGCCCAAGAGCCTTACCTCCCCCAGACACAGTACAAGCTGGGCTTCATCTGGTCTGTGGTCAGCTCTCAGCCACGCGAGGGCTGGATGGACTCACACACCTGGGTCTGCAGGTGTTTTTTATTTTAGACTCTTGGCTACTACTTACAAAATAAGACCAAGACTAGATCTGATTCTATCTCCCCTACCTCTCACTCTGTTTTGTGAGGCTGGCCTTCCCCTGTGTATTCCTACTGAGAGACTAGGCCATAACAAGGGGCAGGGTCTCCGCACCGGCAATGACGCGCTCCACAGCATACTCAAAGTTGAACGTGTGCACAGATGTGTGCCCCTCCCGCGCAGCGTGCAGCGCAGCCTCATTGCAGATGTTAGCGATGTCTGCGCCTGTGAACACAGACAGGGAGAGGTAGGCATCTGCCCTTCCTTACTGGTGCTTTAGAAGGAAAGAAGGAGGCTCACTTTTTTTTTTCTTACAAGGGACAGGTTTATTATGAAGATGGAAAATATACCACATACAAAGTACAATCCTCTAACATCCCGAAATACACACACACACACACACACACACACACACACTGTACATAAACTTATATTACCCATATAAAAACACAACATTTTGGGGGGCTGGGGGAAAAGAGGGAGAAGAATGAGGGAGTAACAAGTTAGACAAGAAATGTAGGACTGGGAAGGTGGCTCAGTGGTAGAGTGCTTGCCTTGCAAGCCTGAGGCCCTGGGTTTGATTCCTCAGTACCACATACACAGAGAAAGCCCGAAGTGGTGCTATGGCTCAAGTGGTAGAGTGCTAGCCTTGAGCCAAAGAAGCTCAGGGACAGTGCCCAGGCCCTGAGGTTCAAGCGCTTGGGTCTGCAAAAAATAAAAATAAAATAAATAGCCGGTGCCAGTGGCTCTAATCCTAGTCAGGAGGCTGAGATCTGAGAATGACTGTTCAAAGCCAGCCCGGGCAGGAAAATCCATGAAACTCTTATCTCCAATAAACCACCAGAAAACTGGAAGTAGGGCTGTGGCTCATGTGGTAGAGCGCTTGCCTTGAGCTGAAGAGCTGAGGCACAGTGCCCAGGTGCAGAGTTCAAGCCCCACGACCGACAAAAAATAAATAAAGAAATATCACAATCCTAAAATATTTACCTACATTAAGTGCTGGTGGATAAGAAGACAGTAAAAGAAGCCAAAGCAGGTCTGGCTTCCAGTTGTAGACCAAAAACTGCTTTGGAGGCAGTAACCCACTATCCTTTGCTTACTTAATTCCCTAAATAATTTAAAGGTGTCTGATATTGTCAACTCTCAAAAACAGAGCAAAGAAATAATTTGACATTACAGCACTATTCTCTAGCCACATGCACACACATACTTCAACTGAGTTTAGTCAAGTAATATTGACCATAAACTTAATTTAAAACCAATGTCTCTGCAACTGGCATCTCTGGGGAGTACCCTAGCAGAATGTTTCCCTTCTTATGCTCATCTTTTGTGTCATATGCTTAATTGATTTTCCTTCCCAAAATGTAAAACTGTGTTCATGAGCAAGTACACAATTGAATCATAGTAAGGATCTGCATAAGGCTCAAGTCTGAAATAGGAGGGAAATCTTACCACTCAGAACATTAGAGCAAAAATTCTAAAAGGACCGGGAAGGCAGCTCAGTGGTAGAGCGCTTGCCTTGCATGCATGAGGCCGTGGGTTCGATTCCTCAGCACCACATAAGCAGAGAAAAGCAAGAAGTGGAAGTGGGGCTGTGGCTCACGTGGTAGAGCGCTAGCCTTGAGCTGAAGAGCTGAGGGGCCGCGCCCAGGCCCAGGGCCCCATGACTGACCAAAAACAACCCAAAAAAACAGCAACAACAAAAATAACTAAACTAAAACTAAAGGATAACCAACATGGGAGAAATTCTTTTTTAAATCTATATAAACACTTAAAGTGAGAATCATACATCTGGACTCCAGTGGCTCATATTTACAATCCTAGACATTTGAGAGGCTGAAATCTGGAGAAGGGTGGTTCAAAGACAGCTCAGACAGAAAAGCCCAAGAAATACTATCTTCAAAATAACCAGCAAAAGCCAGGCTGAAGACGTGGCCCAAGAGACAGAGCACCAGTTGTGTACCTTAAGTTCCAACCCCTGCCTCTCACATAGGGCGTAGTCTAAGCCAGAAGGTCCCATGGGACATTGCACGCGAGCACGGGCCCAGTGCTCTGCACACCGTTCCTGCTGCAAATGGCACGCTGGGCATATGGACCTCACCACTCTATCCCTGGAGTAAACGCAGGCCACAGAACGGCTGTTCAGATGCCTAGGACTGGACTCTGCGGCCCTGTTCTCTGCATGAGCGTCTCATCCTTCTCACCCAATACCACTCGAGAGAAGGAGCAGAGCTCCTGGTGGGAGGCCAAGACCCAAGGGTGCAGCTGCAATCAGCGGCCTCATGAGCACGCTGTCTGCTGATCCGAGACCTACCACTGAATCCGGGGGTCAGCTCTGCTAGCCGCTGGGAGTAAAAGCTGCTGGTCTGGGTCAGCTTCAGGCCTTTCAGGTGCTGCTCGAAAATCTCTCGCCTCTCCTGCCACAAACAGGGAAACACAGGTTGGGTTCACTCCCAGCAAACATGGCTCACACAAACAACTGGCTTTTGTTTGTTTTGGTGCTAGTACTGGTGTTTGATCTCAGGGATTGGATGCTTTCCTTTAGTTTTTTCACTCAAGGCTGGTGCTGTACCACTACAGCCACAGCTCCACTTCCAGATTTTTCACACAAAATTAATTGATGGTAAAAGTCTCTGGCCTTTCCTACCCAGTGTGGCTTCAAACTGGATCCTCAGATCTCAGCCTCCTGCATAGCTAAGATTATAGGCATGAGCCACAGGTGCCCAGCATTACAGGCAGTTTTCAGTTTGTTTTGTTGTTTTGTTTTTGGTGCCAGACCTGGGGTTTGAACTCAGGGCCTGGGCACTGTCCCTCAGCTTAAAAAATTGTTTTTTGTTATCATAAAGGTGATATACATAGGCTGTGAAGGTGGCTCAGTGGTAGAGCGCTTGCTTTGCATGCATGAGGCCCTGGGTTCGATTCCTCAGCACCACATAAGCAGAAAAGGCTGGAAGTGGCGCTATGGCTCAAGTGGTAGAGCGCTAGCCTTGATCTGAAGAGATGAGGGACAGTGCCCAGGCCCAGACTTCAGGCCCTATGACCGACAAACAAACAAAGATAACATACAGAGGAATTAATTATATACACTAGATAAAGAGTACATTTCTTTTTGGACAGTGTCACTCCTTCCTTTAATTAGTTAATTATTTATTTTTTTTTGCCAATCCTGGGGCTTGAACTCAGGGTCTGAGTGCTATCCGTGAGCCTCTCTGTGCTCAAGGCTAGTGCTCTACCACTTGGGCCACAGCACCACTTCTGGCTTTTCCTGTTTATGTGGTACTGAGGAACTGAACCCAGGGCTTCATGCATGCAAGGCAAGCACTTTACCACTAAAGCCACCTTCCCAGCCTCCCCGCCTCCTGCTCCCTCCCCCCAAATCCCCCAGCAGCTCACACATATAATCCAGCTACCGGACAGTTAAGGACTAAGAGTTCAAGACTAGCAAGAAGTTAGTGCGATTCAATCTTAATCAAGCCAAGTATGCCCATAATCCAGCATGAGGGAGAAGTCAGAGGATCACATTCTGAGGTTGGCCTGGGCAATGCTGAAGACCACCATGTGAAAAGGGCTGATAGGCCTTCTGTGGATGTGCAAGTGCAATGCCCTGGATTCAAAGTCTAGCATCATACACACCAAAAAAAGTCAGGTGCCACTGGCTCACACCTATTAACCTAGCTACTCAGGAAGCTGAGATCTGAGGTTTACAGTTCAAAGCCAGCCTGGGCAGGTAAGTCCATGAAACTACTATTTCCAATTAATTTCCAAAAGTGAAGCTGTGGCTGTAGCAGTAGAACACTAGCCATGAACAAAAACAAGAAACAAAAGACACTCAGGACAACACCCAGGCCCTGAGTTCAAGCCCCAGGATCAGCACAAAAACAAATGAAACCCACAAGCAAACAAAATCGAACACTAGTTAGATGGTACCCAGAGGGGTCATGTCCTGTTTCTAGCTGAGGAGGTTAGTGCTTGGTGCACACCAAACCCAGGTCTGGAAGAAGCAACACTTGACACAATTTTTGAGATTCTGACCTGCAATGTAGGGAGATCAATGAAAACGTGTCGGTCAAGCCGGCCAGGCCTCATCAGAGCACTGTCCAAAACATCAGCTCGGTTTGTAGATGCCAGGACGATGACGTGGTCTGTGGTGCCCATTCCTGAGGGGACAGAACACAGTACCTCAGCGGGAGGGAATCCCTTCTCAGCACAAAGCAGAGGATGAAGAGGAACCTTGGCTTCCTCCTGTACACAAGAGTAGGGTACTGATGATTTCTAACCAAAGCCACATGAAAAATGAGAACCTGCCTGTCCAAAAACAGCCTCTACATCCCTGGCTGTCCACTGAGGCAGAGTTGTCCCTAGGGCTGCAGTGATGTCCATGGTAGAGCCCAGGAATCCTGTCACAGACTGGGGGGGGGGGGGGAGGGGGGAGAGAGAAGGGTGCTGGTCCCCTTCTATCTCAGGGCTCTTGCTGTGCTATCTGAACACTCACTGTCTTTTTCCCACCCCCACCTCCAGTACTGGGGCTGGAACTCTGGTTCTTAAGTGTGTTAAGCAGGTTGAGTCACACCCCCAGCCCTTTATGCTTTGGTTATTTTTGAGATTGCATCTCCCATTTATGCCCAAACCAGTCTGGACCACAGACTGGTTTGCTTCCTGTATACAGTGGGGATGAGAGGTACATACCACCATGCCAAACTTTTTGGTGATGAGATGGACTCTTGCAAACTTTTTACACAGCAGATGCTGTCTCTAATCAGCTATAAGTATAGCTCAGTGGTAGAACACAGGTTTTAAGCACAAAAGTTCAGGGATAGTGCCCAGGTCCTGAATTCAAGCTGCAAGGCTGGCTCAAAAAAATGACCCTGACTCTTGTTGTGTATGAATTTAGCTGGATCTAGTGAGAAAGCTCACTGCACAACAGTGCCCACTAGAACCTAGCAGATGGCAGGTCCTAGGAAGACCTTTGAGTGTAACGCGGACACAGTGGCCTTTACCTGATTGTAAAGAAACACATTCAGAAGCTAGATGTAGGTGGCTCATAGCTGTATAATCCTAGTTATTCAAGAAGCTGAGATCTGAGGACTGAGGTCTGAAGACAGCCCAGGCAGACAAATCCAAGAGAGTCATCTCTAATTAACCACAAAAAAGCTGGAAGTAGAGTTGTGGCTCAAGTGGTGAAGTACCAACTGCCTTCAGCAAAGACTGAAGGTCCTAAGTTCAAGCTCCAGTACTGGTGCACATGCAAATACGTGCACGTGCATGTATGTATGCACACGCATGCGTGCACGCGCGCACACACACACATACCACTTATGGTTCAAAATTCTGGGTTTGCTTTAAAGTACCCCTTGGGGAGAGGGAAGGCAATAGAGGTACAGACAAATATGGAAGGAGCAGGGAAACAGTCAGGGCTCTTACTCGTCTCTCTGTTACTTGAAGATGTTTGAAAAGTCCTATAACACAAAGCTAAATGAGCCCAAGTGCTGTGACCTAAGATATCTCACAGACCTACAGTGATGAGTTGTAAAGTGAGTACAGTACAGGTCTGGGAAGGTGGCTTATTGGTGGAGTGCTTGCCTAGCATGCATGGAGCCCTGGGTTCCATTCCTCAGCACCACATTCACAGAAAAAGCCAGAAGTGGTGCTGTGGCTCAAGTGGTAAGAGTGCTAGCCTTGAGCAAAATGAAGCTCAGGGACAGTGCCCAGGCCCTGAGTTCAAGGCCCAGGACTGGCAAAAGAAAAAAGAAAGAGTAACTCCTGTACAATCTTTGAACAAAACATGAACACGAAACTCTTGGAGTTGCATGTTAATTTCTACATCCTGGCAGATGTTCTCAGTCAGTGCCAGCTGCTTTCAGGGCCTTGAGCTTGCCAGGCTGGTATGACCGTCACTGGAACCACACCTCCATTTCTTCTATTGGCTGGTCATGTTGGAGATGCAAACTTTCTGCAGAGCCTAAAACCATGGCCTTCCAGATCTCAGCCTCCTGAGTAGCTGGGAATATAGGTGTGAGCCACTGGCACTTGGCTTAAATGTAAAACTTTTTAGGAATCACAGTGGGCAGAAGGCATGGCTGAGGTGGTAGAGCCTAGCAAATGTAATACTGCCAAAAACAAACAGAAAGAATCAGCAGGCCCTGGGTTTGATCTCTAGCACTGTAAGAAAGAGCCAAACACTGCTTGGTGGCTCAGGCCTATAACCTAGCTGCTACTCAGATGGCTGAGGTCTGAGGACTGCAGTCTGAAGCCAGCCTGGGCAGACAAACTGGAGACTCTTATTACCAATTGATCAACAAAAATCTAAAAGTGACTGTGGCTCAAGTGGCTGAGCACTAGCCTTGAGAACAGGTAGGGCTCCGCTTGGCACTACCATACAGGCTGCCTGGCTATGCAAGATGCGCAGGGCAAACATCCAGTGCAGGCTATCTATTACCTTCTTTAATTTTTGTCCCGGTCCTGGGGCTTGAGCGCAGGGCCTACGCACTGTTCCTGAATATGTCTGCTCAAGGCCACAGTGCCAATTCTGGCTTTTTTGATAGTTACTAGAGAAAAGAATTTCATGGACATTTCTGCCCAGGCTGGCTCCAAACCACGATCCTCAGATCTCAGCCTCCCAGCAGCTAGGATGACAGGCATGAGCCACAGTGCCTAGCTCCAGACAGCATGGTTTGTATTTGGCTCTTCTGAGTCATCAAGGCTCACCTGATAGGGCTCTTCTGCTGTGAGGAGGAACCTTACAGAAAACCCTGCAAGACTTGATTTTGAGTGTGTGTATGTGTGTGTGCCCAGGGCATGCCACGCAGTGTTCCACTTCTGAGGCCACACTGTCCTGTGCTACAGCCCTGTTGAGGTTTGCTAATGACTCCCGTCTGGGATCAGGAGCCCACACGCCCTATTAGCTCCCCCACACATGCCGAAGCCCTCTATTCCTGTGAACCTGCAATCCAAGTGACAGTGCCGTGAACTGGTGGGAAGCCAGCGCTCTCCGTGGATCCCCTGCAGTTTGAGAGTCCCACAGACACTACAGCATCTCGGAGGAGGCTCTCATGACTGGGGTTTCTATTTCCCTTGATGAGTTTCCCATGACAGACAGCCCAGCATCTGCCAAGTTCCCTCTCCACTTCAATGAGCCAAAATTGTTCCTTCCGGAAAGACAACAAAGACTCTCCTCAGATCATCTGAAGGCCAAGTGTGCACAGCTGTGGGACACAAAGGGACTTCTTGGTGCTGACCCAGCTCTATGCGAGGCCATCAGTGGCAGGATCCCGGGAAAGAGCCAATGTTGGAGTACAGGCAGCTATTTTCATGGTCGTACAGAGAGGTCTGGCTCAGAGGAAAACATCTAGTGAAAAAATATTTACAAGAGTGGAAGACAAGGTAAGCAGATACAGGGTCTGCTTGGTCTCAACAAGTCCAACGCCATGTGAAGTGAGTTCACTTGTTTTACTGTTCCCTTCTAGCTTCATTGTTAGAAATGAATTTAATCCTTTATTTAAATAAAACTTGCTTTCAGGAAGAAAAAGAAAAAAGTTTCACTTGAGTTTTCCTTCTTTCATGTGTGAATATGCATGTGTGTATGTGTATGCCAGTCCTGGAGCTTGAACTCAGGGCCTGGACACTATCCCTGAGCTTTTTTTGCTTAAGATGCGCACTCTATTACTTCAGCTACAGCGCCACTTCTTGCTTTTTGGTAGTTCATTGAACATAAGAGTCTCATGGACTGTCCTGGCTTTGAACTGTGATCCTCAGATCTCCACCTCCTGAATAACTGGGGTTTAAGGCATAGCCACTGACATCCAGATCACTTGAGTTTCTTTGATGATCACCTAGAAAGACCCTCACCAACTTACAGAAGGTCACAGAACCACAGGATGAAGATTTATGGCAAGTACAAGGCCCTGAGTTCAGTCCTCAGCTCTGCAAAAACAAAAACAAAAACAACAAAAAAGCTAAAGACAAAAACAAGAAAGTAAAACAACCCAGAGAGCTGTCACTGCACCAGGAAGGGCCTTTGTGATGCCACAGCATCTCAAGTCCGCATGGCCCTGTGTGTGGAAGCCGAGGTCCAAACGTCCAGTCAGCATCCCAAAGCTGTCCATGCTCTGAGCCTGGCACTATGCCAGGTCCCCAGCTAACAAGAAGGCTCTGAAACACACGCGTTCCATAGCCTGACTGGTCACAAATGCTACCTCCCTCAACCTATTGTGGCTAGAACTCAACCTATCTTCTAAGATTCTTCATGAGCCCAAAGCTAGATACTTGTCCAGGAGCAACCACACAAGCCAGTCAGACTGGGCACTGCAGCCCACACCTGTAATCCTAACTATTCAGGAGGCTGAGATCTGAAGATCAACATTCAGACCCAGCCTGGGCAGAAAAGTCTTTCTCCAACTAACCACCAAAAACCCAGGAGTGGAGGTGTGGCTCAAGTGGTAGAGCGATATCCTTAACCAAAAAGGCTAAGTAAAGGTGCAAACTCTGAGTCTGAGCCCCAGTACCATCACACAAAAGGCCAGTTAAAGCCACTGATACACGCCATCTGCTGACATACAGCCTGCAGAGCACATAGACCAAGATGTGGGAGAAGACCCCAGCGCTCTCTCTGAACGAGGAGGACCACTCTGGTCAGATGGAAGCACAGCAGAGCTAAGCCTGACGTGGGTCTCTGGGTCTGCCTGAAAGGTACCCTTGAAATGCCCCTACTGCTGTGGACAGTGTGTCAGAAAGTGAACCACCTCACCCACGTCTCCAAAGATATTTAGGACTGACACTTGGCCTTCTTGAGCACTTGCTGTGAGTGTGCAAGGTGAGCGTTTAGGTGGCAGCTGACCATGCTGCGGCCCTGAGGAAAGTGCTCACAGGACACCACCCAGGAGACACAAAGCAGGAGGGACTGAGGCGGAACCAGACGTAAACCTTTTCATCACATCTCAACAATGCAAGCCTGGGGCCGGTGGCTCACACCTGTCATCCTAGCTACTCAGGAAGCTAAGCTCTGAGGATTGCGGCTCAAAGCCAGCCTGGTCAGGGAAGCCCCTGAGACTCGTGGGGCTTGAACCCTGGGCCTGGGTGCTGTCCCTCAGTGCTTCAGCTCAAGGCTAGCACTCTACCACTTGAGCCACAGTGCCACTTCTGGCCTTTTCTGTTTATATGGTGCTGAGGAATTGAACCCAGGGCCTCATGCATGTGAGGCAAGCACTCTACCACTGAGCCGCCTTCCCAGCCCGTCCCTGGATTCTTTTCTCAAGGAGAGCACTCTACCACTTGAGCCACAAGGCTGCACTTCTAGCTTTTTCTGATTAATTGGAGATACGAGTCTCAGAAACTTTTTCTGCCCCGTGCTGGATTCAAATCACAATCCTCAGATCTCAGCCTCCTGAGTAGTTAGGATCAGAGGCTTAAGTCACAAACACCTGGTTTGGTTTTGTATCAGTCCTGGGGCTTGAACTCAGGTTATGCCTGGGCACTGTCCATGAACTTTTTTGCTCAAGGCTAGTGCTCTATCACTTGAGCCACAGTTCCACTTCCAGCTTTTTGGTGGTTCACTGGAGATAAGAATCTCATGGACATTCCTGCCTGGTCTGGCTTCAAACTGCAATCTAAAGCTCTTAAGCCTCCTGAGTAGCTTGGATTGCAAGCATGCACCACCAGTGCCTACCAAGCGCTGTGTTTTTGGAGGCAGTGAGGTGCTGACTTGTTTGTTCATGGGGAGGTTGGGGACGACAGGATGACACACTGGTGACTGGGCAAAGTGAACCTCTCTGCGCTGTAACAGAAGGCAGGGCCGCCACCATCGGCCCAGAACAGTGTGACGGGAGGGGAGAGCACTCGGCACTGACCATCCATCTCCACCAGGAGCTGGTTGAGGGTCTGCTCCTCCTCAGTGTTGGAGAAACCAGAAACGGAAGTGGAGCGCTTCTTGCCCACTGCGTCGATCTCATCGATGTACACGATGCAGGGAGCCCGTGCCCGGGCTTCCTTGAAGAGGCTGCGCACACGGGCGGCACCCAGGCCTGAGGGGCACAAAGAGCATTAGAAGGCCAGCAGTGGAGAGCTTGAAGTCATACTCTGGCCAGAACCAGGCAAAGCCATCCACCAAGAATAACTAAACCTAAAACAGGCCACACCCCGCAGGAGTGGCCAGGGGCTTTCTGGTCTAGCAGGCCACAGGTGAAAAGCAATGACCACTCACAGCATCCTTTAACTTGTGCTGCATTTTTCCTTCAGTTCTACCCGAGGAAGGAAGGGTATGTGGACACGCCACCCGACCCATGGGCCAATGTGACCACAGCCCCAAATCCACACCTACCTCCAATGACCTCCACAAACTCAGGACCAGCCATTGCCAAGAAGGGCACTTGGGCCTCCGTAGCCACCGCCTTGGCTAGCAATGTCTTCCCACAGCCGGGGGGCCCAAGCAACAGGGCCCCCTTTGGAACCTTGGCACCAAGCTGAAGGAAGCGCTCCGGACTCTATACAGCAACAGACAGTCCACTCACCATGCAGGCTCTCAGAGGGCACCAAGTGCCTCACACAAGGCAGCCACAGTCCCAGTGGGTCTCCAGGGACCAAGAGACCACAGTGCCTGACAGCAGAGCCAATGGTGCACCCTTATGACCTTTCTGCTCTGCTCAACAACCCTGTGTGGGCTGATACTACTTAAGTGCAATAGGCATTAGTGGGGGCTTGGTGCCCCCACTAATGGGGGGGGTGTCCCCTACAACATAACAAATCTGAAGAACTCCAGCCCAGGCCATCTGTTTACCCCAGGTTTCATTTTGGTAACTTAATTCTGTCTGGTTCTTACCTTTAGATAATCCACAAACTCTCGAACTTCCAGTTTGGCTTCGTGCATTCCTGCCACATCTTTGAAGCTGACTCCTTTCCCTGTTTTCCCATCCACAATTGTGAAACGAGCCATTTTAAGCTGATTCTGTGCAGAAAGAGTTAGGGGATGGGAGCTCTGTATCCTTAGCAAGCTGAGCTGATGTCATGTCCTTCCTGCCTCCTCACCAGCAGCCCACCAGCATCAAAGATGGGTTCACAGGTCACTCTTCAGACACAGGATGAAAAACCTTGGCTTTTCCTGCTAATTAGTGGTAAAGCACTTGCCTAGCATTCATGAAGCACTGTGTTCTATCTTTAGGAACATGAAATAAAACAAAAAATACCAATCCAACATCAACAAATACCTCTCCCACACAACTAGGCAACTTAGTACCTTTTCACCAACTACCCTTTCCTGTGTAATCCCCATGTCCTGCGTCATTTCTTTCTTTGATTATAAAATCAATATAGTAAGAGTATTGCAAACTGCTGATAGAAATGTTAACTATAAATTTCTGAGAGGGATAGGGCAGGATAGAAAAAGCTCTTAAGCTGGAGCTGGTGGCTCACACCTGTAGTCCTAGCTACTCAGGAGGCTGAGATCTGAGGATCATGGTTCAAAGCCAGCCAGGGCAGGAAAGTCTGTGAGACTCTTATCTCCAGTAAACCACTAGAAAATCGGAAGTGGTGCTATGGCTTTGTAGTAGAGGATTTGCCTTGATCTGAAGAACTGAGTGCCCAGACCCAGAGTGAAAGCCCCACAACAAACAAACAAAAAAAACTCTTCATAAGGTGCGTGTCCTTCCAACAAATCCTACTTTTAGGAAGTCCCGAAAGTAAATAATAAGGCAGGCATCCAACATATACAATCACTTAAGAGGGCTGGGAAGGTGGCTCAGGAGTAGAGTGCTTGCCTTGCATGCATGAGGCCCTGGGTTCAGCTTGGAAGCTGAGAAACATTAAAGGTATCTTTAAAAGACATTCAAAACACACCAGAAGCTAGGCACTGGTGGCTCACGCCTGTAATCCTAGCTACTCAGGAGGCTGAGATCTGAGGATCGCAGTTCAGAGCCAGCCTGGGCAGCAAAGTCCATGAGACCCTTATCTTCAATAAACTACCAGAAAACCAGAAGTGGCACTGTGGCTCAAGTGGTAGAGTGCATACCTTGAGCTGAAGAGTTGAGGGACAGCACCCAGGCCCAGAGTTCAAGCCCCACAACCAAAAAAAAAAAAAAAAAGCACACTAGAACTTTCTTCCTGTGTTGGGGCATTTCTTCTTTCTTTCTTTCCCTCTCTCTCTGCCTGCCTGCCTGCCTGCCTGCCTGCCTCCCTCCCTCCCTCTCTCCCTTCTTTCCTTCCTTCCTTCCTATTCCAGTCCTGGTGCTTGAACTCAGGGCCTGGCACTGTCCCTGAGTTTCCTTTGCTCTATCGCTCTATCACTAGACCCACAGCACCACTTCCAGCTTTTTCTGTGTATGTGGTGCTGAGGAATCAGACCCAGGGCTTCATGTATGTTGGGTAAGCACTCTACCACTGAGCCACATTCCCAGCCCCAGGGCCATTTCTTAAAATGTGCACCTCTCAAGGCTGTGAAGGTGGCTCATTGGTGCCTCACATGCATGAGGCCCTGGATTCGATTCTTCAGCACCACATAAGCAGAAAAAGCTGGAAGTGGTGCTGTGGGTCTAGTGATAGAGCGATAGAGCAAAGGAAACTCAGGGACAGTGCCAGGCCCTGAGTTCAAGCACCAGGACTGGAATAGGAAGGAAGGAAGGAAAGAAGGGAGAGAGGGAGGGAGGGAGGGAGGCAGGCAGGCAGGCAGGCAGGCAGGCAGGCAGGCAGGCAGGCAGGCAGAGAGAGAGGGAAAGAAAGAAAGAAGAAATGCCCCAACACAGGAAGAAAGTTCTAGTGTGCTTTTTTTTTTTTGGTTGTGGGGCTTGAACTCTGGGCCTGGGTGCTGTCCCTCAACTCTTCAGCTCAAGGTATGCACTCTACCACTTGAGCCACAGTGCCACTTCTGGTTTTCTGGTAGTTTATTGAAGATAAGGGTCTCATGGACTTTGCTGCCCAGGCTGGCTCTGAACTGCGATCCTCAGCTCTCAGCCTCCTGAGTAGCTAGGATTACAGGCGTGAGCCACCAGTGCCCAGCTTCTGGTGTGTTTTGAATGTCTTTTAAAGATACCTTTAATATTTCTCAGCTTCCAAGCTAGTAGAAACCAAAGGAGGGGACAGAGGAAGAGGAACCATTTCTAGTTGACAAGATGCCATGGAATAAACTTTCCCATTAGCTAATTCACTGGAAGAAGGGTGCTGGGTTCATATGGGTACTCCACACCTTCCACACGACTGAGGGTTCCTGCTGGCCTTTGCAACAGTTCATTTTCCCCAACAGTACTCATCCTATAGGACTCAGCAGGCACAGACAAAAACACTCAAGAGATGTACATCCAGCGGGCTCAGATTTGTACAACTTACGAAAGCACTGAATCCGCCTTCCCTTCCGGTCATCCCAGTCAGACGGAAAATGTACCACAGGATGGCCAGGCCCACGGCCGTCATCCCCAGGGCGTAGAGGGCACTGGTGAGGAAAGAGACGGTGAAGGGCTGACATCAGTGCCAGACCAGCTCACAAACGCATCTCAAACCCATCCCCACGTCTGAGACAGACGTGAAAAGCAAACAGCTGTACAACCATGTTTTCTCTGCTTCACCTTTACCAGTTTCCCTCCTTTGTAGAAGTGTCCCAAGTGTTAAGACTGAGTGTGCAAAGGCTGGAGACATTTGGCTAACACACCTCTATCACTGCCCAACAAAAGCAGTTGTTAGCCTAGGAATGTGACTTAGAGGTAGAGTGTTTGCCTAGTGTGCATGAAGCCCTGGGTTTGATTCCTTAGTACCACATACACAGAAAAAGCCAGAAGTGGCACTGTGGCTCAAGTGGTAGAGCGCTAGCCTTGAGCTGAAGAGCTGAGGGACAGCGCCCAGGCCCAGAGTTCAGGCCCCATGACTGGACACCCCCCCCCCCCAAAAAAAAAAAATAAGTGTTAGGATTCAGCCTTCTATGTAAAGAGGAAGATGGCTGCCCTGGCCTGCCATTCCTCCCTGCCACCTGCCTGTTCTGCAGTAAAGAATCTGGAGCTTAGCCTTAGCAGGTGTTGGGACTGCATAACATTTTCAAAGGAGCACATGCTAGCCATCAGTACTTTGCATCTCAAGTTATGAGACTCTTATCTCCAATAACCACCAGAAAACCAGAAGTGGCACTGTGGCTTAAGTGTCCCTCAGCCTTGAGCCTGGGGGACAGCACGCAGGCCCAGAGTTCAAGCCCCGTGAAAAAAATACAAACTCTCTTTACAAATTGACTTTGGTCACAGGTGGTCCCAGCAACTCAGCTAAATGATGTGTCGTCATTTTGGAACCTGTCAGACCCATGGTCCTATTTATCCCATAATGCCTACATGTGTCTCTGCTGCTGGCAGCTCTGAAATAATTTTTAATTACCATTCCCATTTCTCTCACGCCTGCGAGGCAAGCACTCCACCACTGAGCCACCTTCCCAGCCCCTAGTTTTGGGTTTTGAACTCAGGCTGGACTCAAATTGTGATCCTCCTGGTTTGTTTCTCAAGTATAGGCATGAGCCACTGCGTCTAGCTTGTGTGTGCGTGCGTGTGCGCACGCGCGCGCGCGCGTGCGCATAAGCGAGCTCAAGCACCACCTGTCCTAAGGCTTGAATTCAGGGCTAGGCAATGTCCCTGACCCTTTGTGCTCAAGGCTAGTGCTCTGGCACTTTGAGCCACAGCTCTACTTCTGGCGTTTTGGTGTTTAACTGGGATAAGAATCTCACAAACTTTCCTGACCAGACTGGCTGGTCCTGACTGTGATCATCAGATATCAGTTTCCTAAAGAGGATTACAAGTGTAATATTATTACTATTTTTTTGACAGTCCTGGGTTTGAACTCAGGGCCTGGTCACTGTCCCTGAGCTTCTTTTGCTCAAGGCTAGCACTCTACCATTTGAACCACAATGCCATTTTTGGCTTTTCTGTTTATGTGGTACTGAGGAATCGAACCCAGGGCTTCATGAATGCTAGGCAAGCACTCTATCATTAAGCTACATTCCCAGCTCATGGCCTTTTTTTTAAAAGACAGGATCTCATGGTACTCACTAGATACTAAGGTGAAAATGAACTATATAACTTGTCAATGGGGATGGGAGGGAAAAACAGGGAACGAAATGTACTCTTTGCTTGCCTTATGTACTTGTAACCCTTCTGTACATCACCTTTATAATAACAATTTTAAAAAAAGAAAAAAAAGAGAGGATCTCTCTATGTACTAGGCTGGCTTTTGTGTGTTTATGTGTGTGCGTGCCAATACTGGGGCTTAAAGTCAGGGCCTGAATGCTGTGTTTTAGCTTTATGGCTCAAAGCTACTATCACTTGAGCCACAACTCCACTTTGGGCTTTACACTGGTTAACGGAAAATAAGAGTCTCAGAAACGGGCTGGGAAGGTGGCTCAGTGGTAGAGTAGGCATACCTTGCATGCCTGAGGCCCTGGGTTCGATTCCTCAGCACCACATAAGAAAAAAGCCAGGAGTGGCGCTGTAGCTCAAGTGGTAGAGCCCTAGCCTTGAGCTGAAGAGCTGAGGGACAGTGCCCAAGCCCAGAGTTCAGGCCCCACAACCGGACCCAAAAAAAAAGAGTCTCAGAAACTTTATTTCTTGCCTGAGCTGGCTTTGAACTGAGATTCTCAGTTCTCAGCCCACTCAGGTGTGAGCCACCAGTACCAGGCTCTAGGCTGGCTTTAAACTTGAGACCTTCTGACTTCTGCCTCCAGAGTTCTGAGAGATTACAAATGTGTAGCATCACACCTGACCTAGTTAGAAACTTTTGTTTTCCACATGAAAGCTCAGCTGGGCTTAGTTTGAAGCTACATGATGACAGACATACTTTCCAAAGAACCCTGTGCGCTTATATGAAACAGGTATCCTGTCCTTGCTCTCAATCTTCAGTTCATCTTCAACTGCTCGAAGCTTCTCTTCAAATTTGTCAATGTTTGCAACTTGCATTCGATACATCAATGCCAGCCGCTGGGGACAGAGCAGAAATGAGTATGAGTGGTAAGGGTAGTGCTCAGGGCTGGCTGTAGACCTTACAGACATCAAAGCACCCAACATTATGCTAAACAGTGTTTTCATGCAGAAAACATTTCTGTGCCTAAAAAGTGCTAATTTTTGCAAGCATAATATGTTTTCTGATAAATGTGGCTTATTAAGAGGGCCTGGGGGCGCTGTCCCTGAGGGGCTTTTTGCCCCTCAGGCTAGTGCTCTACCACTTGAGTCATATCTCTACTCCTGAAGATAAGTGATTCATGAGCTCTCCTGCTCAGGCTATGATCCTCAGCTCTCAGCTTCCTGAGCAGCTAGGATTTCAGATGTAACCCACTGGCACCCAGATAAAATTTATTTTTATTTTTTGTTGTTATTTGGGCTTGTACTACTCTCACTTTTTTTTTTCCCCCTGAAGGCTGGCACTCTACCAATTGAGCCAAAATTCCACTTCTACTAAGCAAAACATTTTAAAGAAAATTGAAGCCGGGCGCTGGTGGCTCAGGCCTGTAATCCTAGCTACTCAGGAGGCTGAGATCTGAGGATCGCGGTTCAAAGCCAGCCCGGGCAAGAGAGACCGTGAAACTCCTATCTCCAATAAACCACCAGAAAACCGGAAGTGGCGCTGTAGCTCAAGTGGTAGAGCGCTCGCCTTGAGCTGAAGAGCTGAGGGACAGCGCCCAGGCCCAGAGTTCAAGCCCCATGACCGACAAAAAAAAAAAAAAAAGAAAATTGAGAGGGTGATTGCATCTTTAAAATATTTTTATCTTAATTACTTAGATAAGTACTTAATTACTTAAAATAATAGTACAAAGGGGTTTCAATTCAACATATCAACTTGTGTGCACTATGCATCTCAAGGGTGATTCTCTCTCTCTCTCTCTATGTATATATACACACACACATATGGGGGGAGAGAAAGTGATCAGATAGAGGTGTTCTCAGATGAAGAAGCTGTCTCTCCACAGCCCCACCTACCACACACAGACTGGCTGCAGTCACCCTAGGGACGACCATCTCAGGCTCAGTGCCCATTCCTCCCCGTGAGTCACGTCTTGCTCCCCTCTCTGACATGTCTCTCCTCCTGCATTGGTCCCCCCAGACTCCTCAGGGTTAGGCACAGAAAACGGAGGTGAGAAGACTCTTCTTCCTTCTCTGGGAAGCTCAGTCCTCCACAAACCAGCGTCTCTTCCCACTCCACACAGAGTGAGCTTGCCTGTGGGGCAAGCACTTCGTACGTTTCTTCTTTCCCTAGTCAGCCATCCAGGACTGCGTCTCCCACTGCTCATGGTAACTCCCTGCCATCAACTTCCTACACTCATGTGACCTGTGTCAGAGCCTTCTCCCCTCATTCCCTGCCAGCAATTCCCATCCAGACTCACCTAGAAGAACTCAAGAGTAGCTGGTGGTTTCAGCCCCTAGTGGTAGCAAGTGACAGTTTGGGTCAATATGTTACTTACTCCCAAATCTTTCTTTCTGCAAACACTGAAAGAGGTAGCTGTGGAATTCTCTAACACCTACCTGGGACTTAGACACCAGCACTCTCTCCCCTGTCAAGCTCTTCTCTCTCATTGCCTTCTTTAAGCTGAATCTTAGCAAGTACTGCCCCAAAGTCTGCAATAAGCCCTGACTGCTACCTCTAGACACACATCCTATTTAAAGACAACCAGGCAAGCAGGTGGGAATGTGGCTTAGTAGTAGAGTCCTTGCCTAGCATGCCTGAAGCCCTGGGTTCAACTCCTCACTCTCATATGCACAGAAAAAGCTGAAAGTGGTGCTGTGGCTCAAGTGCTAGCCTTGAGCAAAAAGAGGCTCAAGGACAGTGCCCAGACCCTGAGTTCAAGCACCTCGATTGGCAAAAACAAACAAACAAACAAACAAAAGCAACAGGACAACCAGGTAAGCTGGGAATGGAGGAAATGAACGATAAATGAGGAACCAAGTTTATGGTGTCCCCTTACTCACAGGCCGCCCAAACACAACAGCTCCAGGGTACAGGTAGACCTCTACAACGTCGCTTTCAGGGACCACCTGCACACGCTGTACCTCGCCTTTGGCCAACATCTCAGTGACAAAGTCATTCCAGGAGATGCTGCCTCCACTGGTGCTGAGCGAGTTCAGCAGGCTCATGACCACTGCGATGATGAACAAGGTACGCAGCCGCTCACGGTACATTTGGTCTTCCCGATCCTTCCGTCTCTTCTCTGAACAAGGAGAACCAGGCAAATGGAGTAAGGGCCAGGGATATTCCAACAGTGATTTCTTTAGGAATGCTCAGCTAAGAGAGGGTCTAGCATCCTACACAAGCCTGCATTTCTGCCAGTCAACAGTTCCCCGAGACAAATGGTACCCATGAGCTGTCTGAGGTCACCAGTTCTTCATACACTGAGGTCTCCTCATCAAGAACAAGAAACTAGTTTCAAAGTCAATGAATTCCTAGAAGGAGAGCTTCCACTGTGAAGGGAAGACTGAAAAACCCTGTGTACATACACATGGTTAAATACCATTGAAATGTCTGTAGCACACGCTTGTTAGTTATACAGAAGAACCTGTTATGACCTGCCTTAAGAAACACCACCTTCTGCCAGGCCAGATGCCAGTGGCTCACACCTATAATCCCAGCTACTCAAGAGGCTGAGATCTGAGGATCACTGTTCAATTCCAGCCCAGGCAGGAAAGTCGTAAGACCCTTATCTTCAATTAACCACCAAAAAAGAACTGGAAGTGAAGCTGTAACTCAAATGGTAGAATACCAGCCTTCAGCAAAAAACTGAAGGCATAGGTTGCTGATTTATAGCTCAGTAGAAGAGTACTTGCTTGGCAAGTGCAAGACCCTGCATTTGGTCCTCAGCTCTTTAAAAAAAAAAAAAAAAGTTAAGAGACAGTACCAAGACCTTGAGTTCAAACCTCACTTTTTTTTTTTTTTTCTGCTTATGTGGTGCTGAGGAATCGAACCCAGGGCCTCATGCATGCAAGGAAAGAGCTCTACCACTAAGCCACCTTCCCAGCCTGAGTTCAAGCCTCACTACAAGCACAAACCAAACAAACAAAAAAAAACCCAACAAAGTCAAATCTTCTGAACAGGGTTAAAGCAACAGTTGTTTTGAAAATATGCAGACACACTACATGTTACTATGTCCAGCTGTATTAAATTAGTCTGACACTTAGACCTTATATTCACAAAAGTACACAAAGGCCATAATTTATTTCAGTAAGGAAATTTACCTTCTGAGTAGCTGATTATTAGGAAAATATCCACTTCAAACCATCAATCTTGTTTTCTAAAGTGTCAACAGTCAGCAAAATTGGAAGCTACATGAACCTTCTGGAAACACTTTCCAATCACTATACCTTACTGATCCAACATGAGACTCCCTCATCACAATGAACTCCCTTCTCAGCTGCTTTTTGTGATTATCCTATCTAATTTCCCATACAGAGATATGGACATATCAGACACTGAAATCCCTATGTTTCTAGCTTGAAGGCTACATTGGGCCTGCTGTAGTTTACAAACAAGGAAAAATATTCAGGTGCCAATGGAGTGACTCAGTGGTGGAGCGCCTGTTTAGCAAGTACAAGAATCTGAGCTCTAACTCACCTAGCACTTGAGTCAAGCTCTTTTTGGTAGTTAATTGGAGAGAAAGAATCTCACAGACTTACCTACCCAGGCTGGCTCTGAACTGTAATTATCAGATTTCAGCTTCCTGAGTAGTTAGGATTACAGGCGTGAGACCCTAGTGCCAAAGTCTAGTTTTGCTTTTTAAATTTAACTTAATCCATTAGAATTTTTTTTATTTTTAGCGTTAATATATGCAAATCATAGTCTATTGCTGAGCCCACACTAAGCATTTGTAAGGGTTAACAATTTCCAAACAGCTAATAGCAAAAACAGCTTTCATCATAGAGAGCTCAGAAACACCACCAATTCAACTCAAGCTCACAGTTTAATTTCCTTTCACAATGTTGAATGAGTCCTAATTCTGGAGTAGATGTGAAACCTAAGCTATGGAGGACATTCTTAGATTCTTGTACCCAAGGGAGTGAACTTGCGAACTAGGACAGGGTAGATGAGCTGGTACAGGCTGACTGATGGTTCTTCCACAGGACGGTCTGCCTCAGTTAGTGTCCCAGGCTCTCATCTTGCCATTCTCCTCTAGGAATTGCTTCCTATGCCCAGGGGCAGTGGCAGCAATCACCAATGTGTATGAGGCTGGGTTCGGCTGAGGTGTTCGGGTCCTCACCCCAGGAGCTCTGGGTTCATCTGAGATTCACCCTTTGCTTGCAGGCACAGAAAGGCTGCCTGTCTTCAGGTATTTCTCAATGCTTCTCACAGGCACATATGTTAACCAAAGCAGCTCAGGAAAAATTGCGAAGGGCCCAATAATTACGTAAGAGACAACAGTGGGAGCGAACGCGCATAAGGACAGCAGGCTCGGGTGGCAGGACTCTGGCTGGACTTCCATCTTTGCTAAGAGCACAGAAGCAAGGCCAGCAGGGCAGCCGTTGTCTGCGAACAGCAGACAGGGTTACCTTCGTCATCTTCAGGTACTTGCCCTTTGGTTTTATCACTGTCTTTATTCTTCTGCTTCACACCTGAAGTGTTAAAATAGTAAGTGCTACCTGTAATAATAAACAGCGAAGAACATGACAATGAACATTTGCAACTACAGGGAAGACACGTGGAAGAACAATATATTCCCAAATAACATAATCACAACAGAAACCACCTACAGCCTGTGTCCTAAGAGCTGCAAGTTTGAGAGAATAAAGCATTTCTTCCATTGTTCCTACTACTGACGCCGTGAATTATAGAACTGTGAACTATTCTTATTATTGTTAAGTATTCAAGTTATAAAGTGAAATATCTTTGCTATTTAAGTTGGCTAAGAGGAAGATGTTGTGCATGCCTATAATTCTAGCATTGGGGATGCTGAGTGCACTCAAGAGGCATGAGGAGGGGCTCGAAGGTGGCTCAGTGGTAGAGTGCTTGCCTTGCATGCCTGAGGCCCTGGGTTCGATTCCTCAGCACCACAAAAGAAAAAAGAAAAAAAAAAGCTGGAAGTGGTGCCGTGGCTCAAGTGGTAGAGCGCTAGCCTTGAGCTGAAGAGCTGAGGGACAGCGCCCAAGCCCAGAGTTCAGGCCCCACGACCGGATCCCCCCCCCCAAAAAAAAAAAAAAAAAAAAAGAAGCATGAGGACTGTGAGTTCCAGTCTAGCCTGAGCTACATAGTAAGACCTTGCATCAACAACATCAACACCAAAAGTAGGGCTGGGGACTCACACTTGTAACAATCCTAGCTACTCAGGAGGCTAAAAATCTGAGGATCTCAGTTTGATGTCAGCCTAGGTGGACAAATCTGAGACTTATCCCCAATTAACCACCAAAAGTGAAGGTGAGTTTCTAGTAGTAATGTACAAGCTTTGAGCAAGTGAGAACACAAGATCCTGAGTTCAAGTCCCAGTACCAGCACACACACACAAAATTTTTGGCCAGGTGCTGGTGTCTCAAGCTTATAATCCTAGCTACTCAGGGAGGCTGAGATGTGAGGATATAGTTTGAAGCTAGCCTGGGCAGAAAAGTCCGTGAGATCCAATTAACCACTAAAAATCCAGAAGTAAAGCTGTGGCTCAAGTGGTAGAGTGTTAACCTTGAGTAAAAAAGCTACAGGACAGCACCCAGGCCCTGAGTTCAAACTGGAGTACTGGAAAGGAAAAAAAAGTAAAATAGATTAAAAATTAGGGGCCAGGCACTGGTGTCTCATGCCTGTTATCCTAGCTACTTAGGAGGCTTATATCTGAGGATCAAGGTTCAAAGCCAGCCTGGGCAGGAAAGGCCATGAGACTCTTATCTCCAATAAACCACCAGAAAACCAGAAGTGGCACTGTGGCTCAAGTGGTAGAGCGCTCGCCTTGGGATGAAGAGCTGAGGGACAGCGCCCAGGCCAAGAGTTCAAGCCCCATGACCCCCCCCCCAAAAAAAATTAAGTAGGGTACTGGTGGCTCATGTCTGTAATCCTAGCTACTCAAAAGGCTGAGATCTGAGGATTAAAGTTCAAACAAAGCCAGTTTGTGTAAACAAATCAGGAGACACTTAAATCCAACTAACCAGCAAAAGCCAGAAGTGTGACTCAAGAAGTAAAAAGCTAGTAGTAAGCATTGAGAATGAGCAGCTCTGAGTTCAAGCCCTAGCACCAGCATGCTCATGTGCACGCACATGCACGTACAATTGACTATTGTGAGGGAACAAAAATTAAAGGATGTGGCCAAGTGGGAGAGTATATCCATACAAACAAAAACATTTGTTAGGAAGTAGAGCTGTGGCTCAAGGTGGTAGATTGCTTGCCCTGAGCAAAAAGAGCTCAGAGACAGTTGCCCAGGCCAAGTTCAATCCCCATGACTGACCAATAAAAAAAACCAACTGTTGTAGGCATAAAGTTGACTTAAGCTCGTTTAAACAAACAAGGGAAACAAAAGGCTTTAGCACACGTGGCAACAACAGCAACACAGGCACCATTGCTCAGGACAGACTGGCTTAACACTTTACATAACTCTTGCTCAAAGCCTCCAGGGGGATGGGGTGTCTCACAACTGAGGCCTAAACTGTAACTTTCTTCAGGAAGACATTAATAGACTCACCAAGAAAACTGCCTTGATTGCCACCTGATCCCAGCAACAGTTATGGGAGAGCTGAAGGACATGCATCTGGTCTCAGAGCCACTGGATATAGTAGATTGAAACACAACTTGGGCGAAGGAGGCAGGCCACCAGCAAGCCAAGTGTCCTCCCTGACCCTGGTGTGCACCAGCTACTTCATGTAAATCAAGAGTCCAAATAGTCCACTTTTCCCTGCTCCAGTTGGGCAAAAGCGGGGTAAAATTAAGAGACACAACCTTAAAGGTCCTCTAAAGTAGATCAAGAGAGGCTGGGGAATGACACAGCATGCCATTCAATATTGCAGCTGTAATGATATGCAAATGTGTGTAGATTATTTGTAAAACCTTTATCAAGAAACCTCATTATTGGTATTTAACCGCAACTAAAAAAAAAAAAGGGAGTTCAAAGCAAATAAGTGTCCAGGCACAGTGTCTGGGTTAGTTTGAGACTAGCTGGGCAAATGCTGGTGTGAGCTCCATCTCTACCAACACCAGAGGCATGGCGGCAGGTGCCATTCTTCCCATGTGAAGGAGGCTGAGACGGGAAGGGCCACTGTGTAGACCCACTAGGTGTAAATCTGAAATCCTACCTCAAACATAAGAAATCAAAAGGGGTGGGCATGTGGCTTAAGTGACCAAGTACCTGCCCAGTAAGCACCAAGACCCTAAATTCAAACCAACAGTATTGCCAAAACAAGAAGAAAAAAAAAGCAAAATAAGCAAAAATAAATAATTCAGAACTTGGAAAAACTTCCTGTGTGTAACTTCTTATCAGATTATCCTGTGGAACCCAAGGCTCACAGTAAGAAGCAGACTAAGGTCCTTCTAAGGTTATTGTCAGTTTTCTGGTCAAGCTATCCTAATTCAGCCACACCTCACTTGACAAGGATATGTCGTCAGATTTCATCACGTGAATATCAGAGCTTTTACACAAACCTAGATGGTAAAGCCTATTGGATACCAGGGGATATATACAGTCTGATGTTCCTAGGCTATTATACTGAAGACTTCAGGCCCTGAGCTCCTCACCTCCTGCATGAATCAAGGAGGTAACTGGCACACCTGGACGCAATCAACTCCCCTTCCAGGCTCCTCCCCCCCCCTTTCTTTTGGTCAGTTGTGGGTCTTGAACTGTGGGCCTCAGGACTGTCCCTCAGCTCTTTAGCTGAAGGCTAGTGCTCTACCACTTGAGCCACAGTGCCACTTACAATTTTCTAGTGGTTTATTAGAGATAGAGACTAATGGACTTTCCTAACCGGGCTGGCTTTGAACCTAGGATTACAGGTGTGAGCCATCAGCCTGTTTTTGTTTTTTGAGACAAGGTTTCAGTATACAGCCCAAGCCACATCAAATTTGTGAGGCTCCTGCCTCACCACCCTGAGACCTGGGGTTACAAGTGTACACCCACACACCCAGCTTCCAGTACCACCTTACAAGGACTAGTCACAGTCACGTCTGCAGTCTGTCAGTGCAGGAAACATCCTTACACAGTGCACGGGTGTATGTTCACAAACACCATGACTTCTCCCATGCCACCTGTGTTTCAGCAGATACACACCTATGAGTTTCCAGAGTCTGATTGGGTTTTGAACTAGATGCTGTTTCAATAGTAATCCACTGATGCCTTCAAAAGTAGGGGTTAGGGTTCGCAATTCTAAGCTCTGAAAAAAATAAAAACAAGAATAGATGCATTCATAGTACATGAATGCAACACAGAATATCTCAATCGTAGTGATTACATTGTCCTAAAATGAGAATTGCCTGTGTGTCATTTCAAAGTTTTTTTTTTTTTTTTTGTTAAGTTGTGGGGCTTGAACTCTGGGCCTGGGTGCTGTACCTGTACTCTTCAGCTCAAGGCAAAAGCTCTACCCCTTGAGCCACAGCACCACTTCCGGCTTTCTGGTGGTTCGTTGGAGATAAGTCTCACAGACTTTCCTGCTTGGGCTGGCTTTGAACTGAGATCCTCAGATCTCAGCCTCCTGGGCTAGTTAGGATTACAGGCCTGAGCCATCAGAGCTTCCAAGTTTTAAGAGAACAGCAAAATGTCCAAAGCTACCGAGAAAGTCAAACACATCAAAGTACTGGCAATGCCACTATTTTCTGGCCCAATGCCCTCAAGGGCCCACAGTAAGAATCTACATTTGTGCTTTATCATTGGTGAACAACTCCACGTCCAGGTACTAAAGGCTCAAACAGCTTACATTCCAGTGTCCTCTTTTCCAGGTGAACATGTTCCCACTTGAAAGGGTTTTTGTGGTTGTTGTGTAAGTGTCCACTATATACCCAGGCTGGCCTGAAATGCATCATCTCCTGCCTCAGCTGGCAGACCACTTGGATTACCACACCCAGTGTCTACGGGGTGTGTGTATGTGTGTGTGCTGGTCCTGGGACTTGATACCAGAACCTCCAGCTCTTGTTTGGAACTGAATTTGTAAGGAGGGACACTTGCAAAGTAGCTACCCGGGAGTTCGGCTTTCTGACAGCCCACTCCGAATCACAGCTGTGTCTGGGAGGCACTGGAATGCATCTGGAGAAGCTGCCCTCAGAGCCATCGAAGAGTGGCTGGAGGCCCTGGGAGACCACAGGGTGTCCATGTCAGGAGGGCGGAGGGTGGAGGCCGCCACGCTGCCCCCTCCAAGGCCCACCCGGGTCCTCCTGGGGCAGGAGGAAGGGGGAGCCGAGTATGGGGGGGAGGGGGGCGGAGGCCGAGCTCGGGCAGGGGGAGGGGGATGCCAAGACCAAGGGGGGGTAGAGTGGGGGGGAGAGGGTCGAGTGGGGATACAGCGGGGAGGGGGGTGGCGGCCGAGGGGGGGTAGAGCTGGGAGGGGGAGGGGCCGAGGGGGGTAGAGCGGGGAGGGGGAGGGGCGAGGGGGGTAGAGGGGGAGGGGCGAGGGGGGTAGAGCGGGGAGGGGGAGGGGCGAGGGGGGTAGAGGGGGAGGGGCGAGGGGGGTAGAGGGGGAGGGGCCGAGGGGGTAGAGGGGGAGGGGCCGAGGGGGTAGAGGGGGAGGGGCCGAGGGGGTAGAGGGGGAGGGGCCGAGGGGGGTAGAGCGGGGAGGGGGAGGGGCGAGGGGGGTAGAGGGGGAGGGGCCGAGGGGGTAGAGGGGGAGGGGCCGAGGGGGTAGAGGGGGAGGGGCCGAGGGGGTAGAGCTGGGAGGGGGAGGGGCCGAGGGGGTAGAGCGGGGAGGGGGAGGGGCCGAGGGGGGTAGAGCGGGGAGGGGGAGGGGGGGTAGAGCGGGGAGGGGGAGGGGCCGAGGGGGTAGAGCGGGGAGGGGGAGGGGCCGAGGGGGTAGAGCGGGGAGGGGGAGGGGCCGAGGGGGTAGAGCGGGGAGGGGGAGGGGGGTAGAGCGGGGAGGGGGAGGGGGGTAGAGCGGGGAGGGGGAGGGGGGGTAGAGCGGGGAGGGGGAGGGGCCATGGGGGGGTAGAGCGGGGAGGGGGAGGGGCCGAGGGGGGTAGAGCGGGGAGGGGCCGAGGGGGTAGAGCGGGGAGGGGGAGGGGCCGAGGGGGTAGAGCGGGGAGGGGGAGGGGCCATGGGGGGGTAGAGCGGGGAGGGGGAGGGGCCGAGGGGGTAGAGCGGGGAGGGGCCGAGGGGGTAGAGCGGGGAGGGGGAGGGGCCGAGGGGGTAGAGCGGGGAGGGGGAGGGGGGTAGAGCGGGGAGGGGCCATGGGGGGGTAGAGCGGGGAGGGGGAGGGGCCGAGGGGGGTAGAGCGGGGAGGGGGAGGGGCCGAGGGGGGTAGAGGGGGAGGGGGAGGGGCGAGGGGGTAGAGGGGGGAGGGGGCAGAGCGGGGAGGGGGAGGGGCCGAGGGGGGTAGAGGGGGAGGGGGAGGGGCGAGGGGGTAGAGGGGGGAGGGGGCAGAGCGGGGAGGGGGAGGGGCCGAGGGGGGTAGAGCGGGGAGGGGGAGGGGCCGAGGGGGGTAGAGCGGGGAGGGGGAGGGGCCATGGGGGGTAGAGCGGGGACGGGGAGGGGCGAGGAGGGTGGAGGGGGAGGGGCCGAGGGGGGTAGAGCGGGGAGGGGGAGGGGCCATGGGGGGGTAGAGCGGGGAGGGGGAGGGGCCATGGGGGGGTAGAGCGGGGACGGGGAGGGGCCATGGGGGGTAGAGCGGGGAGGGGGAGGGGCCATGGGGGGGTAGAGCGGGGAGGGGGAGGGGCCATGGGGGGGTAGAGCGGGGAGGGGGAGGGGCCATGGGGGGGTAGAGCGGGGAGGGGGAGGGGCCATGGGGGGTAGAGCGGGGAGGGGGAGGGGCCGAGGGGGTAGAGCGGGGACGGGGAGGGGCGAGGAGGGTGGAGGGGGAGGGGCCGAGGGGGTAGAGCGGGGAGGGGGAGGGGCGAGGGGGTAGAGGGGGAGGGGCGAGGGGGGCAGAGCGGGGACGGGGAGGGGGGCAAGGCGGGGAGGCGCCGGGACGGAGGTGGGGAGGCCGGCGCGTCCCCGCGACCTCCGCCAGGCCCCGAGGCCGCTCGCGGGTTACCTGCAGGGCTCGTCTCCCGGCCTCCGAGAGAAGCGCCGGAGTCCTACAGACCACAGACGGCCGCCGGCTCCCAGCCCCGGCGGGGAAGCCTGGGCTCCACCGCCGGGGACCTGAACCCGGGCTCTGGCGGAGGGCGCGTAGCAGCAGCAAGGCGGCCGCCATGCTGCCGGGAGCCGCGCCTGCGCGCTGGAGGCTCGGCGGCGCCCCCGGCGCTCTGCCAGGGGCGCGCTCCCCCTCGCACGCCTGCGCACTGGGCGCGGGGCGGGTGCTCGGGCGCATGCGCAGACCGCGCGGGCCGCGCCGGAGCACGCCTCGGTTGCCCCGGGTTCTTCCCGGCAATTCGTCCCGGGACGTTTTTTGAGGCCTGACAAGTGAATAAGTGACTAGGTGGTAGCTCTGGTTTCCATTCACCCCTTGAGGCTGACTCGCTCCCCTGGTGGGCCATGTGCGGCCGAGCTGCGCCCCGTCGCGCTGCTCGACGGCAGGGGCGGGCGGGCGGGCTCCGGCCCCTTGGCCCCGAGGCGGCCCGGGAGCTTCCGGTTTCGGGAGGAAGTAAGCAAATGGAGCGCAGGCGGGCCGGCGGGCGGGCCGGCGGGCGGGCCGGCGGGCGGGCGGGCCGGCGGGCGGGCGGGCGGGCGGGCCGGCGGGCGGGCGGGCGGGCGGGCCGGCGGGCGGGCGGGCGGGCGGGCGGGCCCCGCGGTCCGCACGGGGAGGGGAGGCGGAGCGGCCACGGCCGCCTCAGCAGGCTGGCTGCGGGAAGGGAAGCTCCCGTTCACCGCTCCGGGAAGTAGTGCTTTGACATCCGCCTCGCAGACAGGGAAAGCGGGGCTCAGAAGAAGGGACCCTATGAAGGGGGCCGGCACGGCTCCCCGTCGGACGCGCTGTCGGCTCCGTCCTCCCCTGGGGCTTCCTCGCAGCCTCGGGTGTGTGTCGGGGCTACAGATGTTCTGTTCATTTCAAGCAGCTCTTGAGTCCCAGGACTTCCACCGATTTTCACTGTACATGGTTTTTTTTTTGTCGGTTGTGGGGCCTGAACCCCGGGCCTGGGCGCTGTCCCTCAGCTCCTCAGCTCAAGCCGAGCGCTCTACCCCTTGAGCCACAGTGCCACTTCCGGTGGTTTGTTGGAGATCAGAGTCTCACGGACTTTCCTGCCCGGGCTGGCTTTGAACCGCGATCCACAGATCTCAGCCTCCTGAGGAGCTAGGATGACAGGCGTGAGCCATCGGTGCTGAGCCCTATAGATTGTTTTTTTTTCCTGTTGTTTCTCCCGTTCTTATTCTTCCTTCACGATCAAGCCATCCTTCCTGTTTGTCTTTTTCAATTATTTTATTTTCCTGATTAAAAGATCAAATGGTGCAGGGCACCAGTAGCTCCCACCTGTCATCCTAGCTACTCAGGAGACTGAGATCTGAGGATTACGGTTCAAAGCCAGCCCGAGCAGGAAAGTCTGTGAGACTCATCTCCAACGAACCACCAGAAAGCCGGAAGTGGCGCTGTGGCTCAAGTGGTAGAGCGCTCGCCTTGAGCTGAAGAGCTGAGGGACAGCGCCCAGGCCCAGAGTTCAGGCCCCACAACCAACCAAAAAAAAAAAAAAGATCAAATGGTCATGAAGGAGTCTTGTCCTGCCCCTTTCTATGTTCTGGCTCACTGTGTTTGGGCCTCATTGTCCTTTGATATGACTGTAACTGAACTTCTGAAATGGTTCCTTCCTTTTTCTCTTTCCTTCTTTTGTATTGCCAGTCCTGTGGCTTGAACTCAGGGTCTGAGGGCTGTACCTAAGTTTTTTTTTTCTCAAGGCTAGTGCTCTGTCACTTGAGCCACAGCTCCACTTTCAGCTTTTTGGTGGTTAACAGGAAATAAGAATCTCATGAGTTTTTCTGTTTGGACTGGCTTTGAACTGTAAGCCTCAGATCTCATTCCCCTGAGTTAGCCACCCACCACCACTGGCACACAGCCTGAGAGAATCCCTTGCATTCCATCAGTGCTTTTGGATGACATCTCTGATAGAAAGAGACCAAACTCCCTGACCCTTCCTTTGTTGCTGAAAGTTGGAGACTCAAATATCTAACACATTTGAATGTTTGGTGAGAGAAGAACTGCAATCCTTGTTTGAAATAAAGTTATTGCTGTCTAGCTTCTATCTGGCAATGGATACAGAAGCAGTCTGAGGTGATGTCAGAAGTGCATCCTGGGGCTAAGAATGTGGCTGAGTGGTAGATTGCTTGCCTAGCATGCATGAAGCTCTGGGTTGATTCCTCAGTACCACATACACAGGAAAAGCTGGAAGTGAAGCTGTGTTTCAAGTGGTAAAAGTGCTACCCTTGAGCAAAAGCTCAGGGACAGTGCTCAGGCCCTGAGTTCAAGCCCCAGGACTGGCCAAAACAAAAAAGTGCAACCTCTGGGGGAAGAAAGCTGGGTTCTTTCCCTTGCAGCTGTGACCTGGAGCAAATTATTAACTTCTCCAAGCCTCAATTTTCTCATCTGTTAAAATTGGGATAATAATTATCCGCAAAGCTAGGTAATATTAGTGTTAGCTTTCCCACAGGGTTGTTGTAAAGATAAAATGCAGTAAATGTATGTGAAAGCAACTTGTGAACCAGAAAGGCATTTATCTCTAAGAATTATTGTTATTACTAGGATGTCATAAGCAAGAAATGCCTGGGAAAAACCATGCACTAATTTTTATTCCACCTCTGCTTTGTAGGCTAGGTCTGGTCCTGGGCCCTGCAGAGGTGAACAGCGTCTTCATCTGTTCTACAACCGGAGTGGCGTCAGGCAGAGGCTCACATCACTTCAGGCAGTGGGGATTTCCTTTGAGGATTCCAGTGCTCCACAACCTCAGGCCAAGAGAGGATCTGTGGGTCAGATGGCTCTTCAGAACTCCCTTTCTTAGTCACTGCTTCAGAGCAGTCCCCTAACTACCTACATGTGACAGCTTTACTTTCTTCTCGGGCTCTTCCTTTACCTGTCTTTATTCTTTCTGTGCTTTGTCACTTCTGTTTGCCCCTTTATACTTCCTCTTACCTTAGCGTACTGAGATCCATGTACACTAGGACATTTTAGCCTGGCCTCCCTCTACTGCTTAATTCTTTAACCTTGGTGAGGCAGTGTCTTGGTGACTTCCAGGACAGTCTCTGGACTGCTACCCATACTGGGGCAGCAGTCATAGGTCAGTAGGTAGGATCATCAAGAATATCTGAGGGCTGGTGCTCGCTTCGGCAGCACATATACTAAAATTGGAACGATACAGAGAAGATTAGCATGGCCCCTGCGCAAGGATGACACGCAAATTCGTGAAGCGTTCCATATTTTTTTTACAAACAAGACCACACTAAAGCTACCAGCACAACTATGTTTATTGCAGCATTATTTACCATAGCTAAGATATGGAACCAACCCAGATGCCCCTCAGTAGATGAATGGATCAAGAAAATGTGGTATATATACACAATGGAATTCTATGCCTCCATCAGAAAGAATGACATTGCCCCATTTGTTAGGAAATGGAAAGGCTTGGAAAAAATTATATTAAGTGAAGTAAGCCAGGCCCAAAGAAACATAGGTCCCATGGTTTCCCTTATATGCAATATCTAGTATATGTATGAGTCAAGCGGAAAAGGTCAGATAATGTGATGTTAGGAATACGATCCCTTAAATATGTATTTTAATGTTTTTTTTCTTTCATGCATGTGTTTCTAACGCATTTATAAGATTATTTCTTTGCTTTGTATGTCCCTCTCCCACAGTGTAACCCCCGCTTTCACTATATTTGATGTCAGTATAACATGTGGAGGAGATGGGGACAAACAAGTCGTTTAAGGATTCAGGTGGACCTGTTGCAACAATGAGAAGTACAAAATGTCATGTCAAAAACGAGCTTTACAATGTCGGTGTGGGGGGGGAAAGGATTGGGTGGGGGGAAGGGGGGAGGCTAAATAAAAAAAAAAAAAAAGAATATCTGAGGGCTGCATTTAGAGCCTGGGCCATGAGTGAGGGAAAAGACAAGAGAGCAACTCTGTTCCTTTTGTGTGGTGCCAGGCATCATGCTCTTGCTAGGCTTTGTCACTCATGGTTAGTGCTGAACCATGTGAGCCACACCTACAGTCCAGCATTTGCTGCTTAATTGGAGATAGTTTAAAGAGTCTCTTGGCCTTCTTTGCCTGTACTGCCTTTGAGCCTTGATCTTCCAGGTCTCAGTCTTCTGAGTAGCTAGCATTATGGGTATGAGTTCCTGACTCTGGCATTTGTTCCACACTGATATAGATGACTACTAGGCCCTCCTCCTTACTCTCGTGAATTTCTGGGGAACTTCAAACAAGCTGCTCTTGAACCCTCCATTGTCTTACCTGTAAGACAAGAGTAAGGCTTTAATATTCTGAAAGCAATATGGACTTCCCTTTGTGTATAAGGTCCAGGAGCTGGTGGCTCACACCTGTAATCCTAGCTACTCAGGGGGCTGAGATCTGAGGAATGTAGTTTAAGCCAGCCTGGTCAGGAATGTTCATGAGACTCTTATCTCCAATTAACCACCAAAAAGCTAGAAGTAGAGCTGGGGCTGAGGTGTGGGGAATGTGAGTTGGATATAGAGAGCCTTTGGGCTGGGAAGGTGGCTCAGTGGTAGAGTGCTTGCCTTGCATGCCTGAGGCCCTGGGTTCGATTCCTCAGCACCACATAAACAAAAAAAAAAAGCTGGAAGTGGTGCTGTGGCTCAAGTGGTAGAGCGCTAGCCTTGAGCTGAAGAGCTGAGGGACAGCGCCCAGGCCGAGTTCAGGCCCCATGACTGGAACAAAAAAGAAAAAACAAAAAAAAGGGCTGGGAAGGTGGCTCAGTGGTAGAGTGCTTGCCTTGCATGCCTGAGGCCCTGGGTTCGATTCCTCAGTACCACATAAGCAAAAAGAAAAAAGCTGGAAGTGGCACTGTGGCTCAAGTGTAGAGCGCTAGCCTTGAGCTGAAGAGCTGAGGGACAGCACCCAGGCCCAGAGTTCAGGCCCTGCGACCAGACCCCCCCCTCTCCCCCCCCCCAAAAAAATAGTCTCACAGATGTTCTTGCCAGGCTGGCTTTGAACTGTGATCCTCAGATCTCAGCCTCCTGATAGCTAGGATTACAAGTATGAGTACCAGCACCTGGCTTTCCTTGGCATTTTTTTCAGCTCTTCAGCTCAAGGATAGTGCTCTACCACTTGAGC